TTTTAAAACCACTCCACAAACACCTAATTTTGTTTGTTTTTAGAAGCTAAATTACATATATATTTCATCGGTAACTGAATGTCGTTTTTTTCTGGGATATAAATGGAAATTATTATGACATTAAACATTTGTCGAAATTTATACTGAATGTCAGCTAAATACCGGGGATCACTTAATCTGTTTCTGTTGTTATATTCACTGGAATAACTCACTTGAGTTCAATTAAAGTCAAAAGACCGTATTGTTTTCCCAGAATATATGTGAGCATATATAGATAATCGGTGACTCTAGCTTATAATAATTAGCTTTGATTAAAAAAATTCCCCATCAATACGATAAATTTGGCAACAGTTGGCCGATATGTACTAAATGGCGATTCCAATAAACCGGGGTGGATCAACTATGTATCAACCAATAAGATGACAGTTAGTTCACGATTAGTCAATGAAATTCAAAATATAAACTACTGAATAAAACACTTGTTAATCACGAAAAGTACAGTTATAACAAATGAATCTCACACTTATGCTGTGCAATATCAAAGTCATCCTGTGATCATACATCTATCCATATGGGAGACTTTGTTGCGTTTCCTATTTATTTATTTAAACACATATATATTGGTACAAAAGGGCACCAGATACATATGCGCCACACAAAATAATGAAAGCAGCAAGAGAAGGGATGAAAAGATAAGGCGGACTGAAATGTACAACCAGAAGACTCTCAGTTAAGAAAGTTAGAACCATTCTTTATGTAGAAAGTAAAAGAAGGTTGCAGCAGGGTCGCCACTGACTTCTATTCTGAGCCATATCTGATAACGTCTCTAGCCACTGTGTTGCACCATCTCTCGGACCCCAACCAGGGAGTCGTGAAGGACCAACAGAAGCTAGCCCTTTGTAGCTTTCTTTCATACCACGATACCATGTCATACACTGAACACCTCTCCGCTTTTTCCAACCAGCCCCAGAGTCGGCAAATAATGCACGACGTGGAAGTCTCTGGGACGACATTCGTAAAACATGTCCAAGCCACCGAAGTCGGTGTCTCAAGATGGTGCGCCCGAACACACGATGCCAAACCTCTGCATTACTAACATGGTGTTGCCACTGGATGTCAGCAATCCTTCGGAGACAACGATGATCGAACACAGAGAGACGTCTAACATCCTCAACTCGGAGAGGCCAGGTTTCACAAGCATAGAGCAAAACTGCTCTCACCGACGCGTTGTAGATCCGACCTTTTACAGCCAAACTAACATCACGAAGGCGCCAAAGATGGCCCAGATTGGCATAGGCCGCTCTGGCTTTCATTATACGTGCATCAATCTCATCACTCACGCCACCACCAGCACTTATATAGCTACCTAGATACACGAACTTCTCAACTACTTCAATCTGCTCACCGTCCAGGGTGAGTACATGATGAGAATCCTGCCAGTCTTGTAGGAGTACTTTGCACTTGGAGGGTGCAAAGCACATGTCGTACCTGCGGACACTGATTGCCAACTGATTAAGTGCGGATTGCATGGCTTGAGTATTATCGCACAGTAAGACAATATCATCCGCATACTCAAGGTCGAGAAGTCGTTCTCCAGGCAACATATCCACACCGCCATTGCTTACATCCATCAGAGCTGTTTCCAGGATGTCGTCGATGGCAAAGTTGAAGAGGAATGGTGAGATCGGGCAACCCTGCCTAACCCCACTGCTCGAATGGAACAAGGGAGAAAGGTAGTTGTATGCCCTCACTCTGCCTGAGGTGTTCGTATACAGGGCCTTTAAGATGTTAATGAACTTCTCAGGCACACCCTTCTTCAATAGACAATCCCAGAGAACGGTCCTGTCCAACGAATCGAAGGCCGCCCTGATATCAAGAAACACTACAATTGTTGGCCTGCGATAAGTATGACGGTGTTCTAACATTTGGCGGAGGGTGAAGATGTGATCAATGCATCCTCGACCAGAACGAAAACCAGCCTGCTCCTCGCGAGTCAATCGTTCTCAGGTTTTAAACAACCTACGAAGAATGATAGAAGCCAATAGTTTGAACGCAATCGAAAGTAGACTTATCCCCCGATAGTTATTGCAGGAACAACGTGAACCCTTTTTAAAGATAGGGACAACTATCGACTCATTCCAAGATGTTGGAACACTTTCTTGCTCCCAAACCTTTCCAAACAACGCAGTCAGTTCCTTAGCCAGAAAGTCACCACCATTTTTAAAAAGAGCCGGAGGTAAGTCATCTGGGCCAGGTGATTTATAACGTTTCAAGAGTTGGAGTTCCTTGAGGACTTCCGCCTCGTTTGGTGGATCAGTCGTCACCGGCCATGGGGGGCAGGACAAGCTGGTTGATGTTGCCGGAGCAGCAGGCCAGTTGAACTGCCCTTCGAAGAATTCCGCCCATCGTCCAAGACATCGGGAGATGTTAGTGATTGGCATCCCATCATCCTCGTAGATTGTTTCACTCACACCAGACTTCTTGCTGCCAGTGGCTCGGATGAGTTGAAAGAGCTTCCGGCAGTTACCAGATGCAGCTGCTGCTTCCATCTCATTTTCATGGCGTCGTGAAGAAGCAAGCAATGCTCATCTATACTTTTCGGTGGGGTGGTAGCTAGCCTAGAGGCTAGCTCCGCTCGATACTTACTTGCAACAGAAGTTGCAGCCAGTTTACTAACATCAATCCGTTGGTGGTGGTCAACCCTTCGGCCACTGAAAAGTGAGGTGAGATTGGCGCAGACCAGGGCATGATCAGACTCCAGATAGGTACTCCAAAAGGAGCGGCAGTCTTGTACACAACCACGCCAGCGGTAGCTGATCGCGATGTGATCAATCTGAGTCCAGGCTTGGGATGCAGAGGGAGGTTTTATGGATTATTTGGGTACTATGTGTTTGTTTCATATTTATGGTACATTCAGACTTGTTTAGTTATGTCCACTTTTATTGTTTGCATACCCTGTGGTGGTTGTGTTATTCACGGCATATTCTACAGTAGACGATCGGAATTGCATCTCACAATCGTGTCTCTTACTGTCTTGGTGATTTTTCTGAATGTCGTGTAGTTGGTCATATTATTTATTTCTTTGAACACATAAGCATTGGTATAAGGGATCACCAAATACATATGCGCTACAAAATAATAATGAGGTTATCAAGAGATAGAGAAAGTAGTGAGTATAATGAAAAGAAGAGCAACGAATAACAAAACTTGTAGGAGAATGAATTAATAATAATGATAGAAGCAGTTTGAAACATAACTAAAGCATTTGATGATGTATGGACAATACGACACATTGTTTCGGACAAAGATAACTTCGCAGGTAGATGACTAGCTGTTATAGACTCTTAAAGCCCGAGGTAGGTACTTCGTTTAAAAAGAAGTTTTAATTCCTGTCATTTTGTGAGACACTACAAAAGAACGTGTGGGACTCAAAACAACTGTCAACCAATATCAAAGTCAGGATCTTCAATACAAACGTCAATACAGTTAGTTCCATTGTACGGAGCTGGAACTTCGAGAACTACTATTGCGGTGTCGGCTACTTATATCCACACAAGTAGTATATATTGATGGTCGGGCGTTGAATGTATTTCACTAGAAGATCGATAAGGAAAGAATGGAAACGGAACGCAATTGGTGTAAAAATGCATAAACAATAATAATCGGAGACTATGGACTGATATTTGCTAGAGGAATAGTCAAGATTGAGACAATTGATTGGTAGTTCGCAAATTAACTGTTTACGGTATGGTTGTCAGATTTTAGTGCGGTACTCTGTAATTCTCCCCACCCGTGTTCATGTTCGCTAGACTACAACCATCAGCAAGAAATTACAGGTATTTATAAACAATTATTTACGTAAGATATTGAATGTCCGTCTGTTGGATACCATCAGCAACAGACTACTATGGGAGAGAACAAACCAACTTCCATCTGAATAGGAAATTAGGAGAAGACATTGGAAGTGGATAGGACATACATTGTGAAAATCACCAAACTGCATCACGAGTCAAGTGCTGACTTGGGATTCTGAAGGGAAACGGAAAAGAGGAAGACCAAAGAATGCACTGCGGCGAGAATTGGAAGTAGACATGAAAAGGATGAGTAGTTACTGGAAATCACTGGGAAGGATTACTTATGATGAAGTTCGTTGGAGAATGCTAGTGAGCGGCCTATGCTCCTCCACGAGATATGGCAGGCGTAAGCAAGTAAGCTTGAGACAGTAATCTCTCGGAAAATATCCCGCTAGTTAATCAACACTTTATTCCTTTCACTGTTGGGCTTCGTAGTTTGATAGTGTTTTATACGTCCAACAGAATCTATTTATGAAACTACAGATAGTTGTATCGATATTTCGTAATTTTAAATAACTCCATCACGTTTAGTTTTCGTTCAATTACTTAGCCTACTTGTTGGTCTATTTTTAGAAAAAGAACTCTCAAAGGCTTTGTTTCAAAAAATAAGTCATAGACATTAAGAAAGTTACTACAAACAATCCGAGGTTAAGTAAAATTCTCCGTAAACTTATTCATATATTGTTGACACATTTAGGTGGAATAAACACCAACAAATCACACTCCTCCCTGACACAACCAAAGGTCAAGTTGTTTCAGTAGGAAAGTAACTGTCATTCTAATGACCTCAGTAACAGAAAGCGAGATACTTCATCACCACTAGATTGTTGGTACATCTAGTTGGCGATTTCCAAATCGTACGAAAAGTTTTTCCTGCATCCCACTGCTAGCCGTTATCCAACTTCAATAATTTAATTATTTCTTTAAAAAGTTTTTATTAATTTCTTATATGATTCTAAAGTTAACTTTTACAACGTATTTCGAGTGTATATTGTGATAATATCAACTGATACAATAAAATAGTGAATAAGCATACATATTTGAAGTGTGTTTTTAAAATATGTATATATAATAAAAGTATAGTTAGTTTTATGGATTGGTGATTGTATACCAGGTACCCTGAACCTAGATTTCTTATCACTCCATTTAGTCATCCAATTGACATAGTAAAGCGACACCTCTCATAATCCAATGACTTTCCGGTTTATCTGACGTCAACAAGATCGGTAGTACAAAATTTGTAGAGTGCCCAGTTGTTGATAATACACCTCGACGTTCACTTGTTTTGTAAACTGGTGCTGTATAACTAGGCCTTGGTTTAATATCACTCCGTTTTATTGGTATTAACCAAATCTGTGAAAAATATTTGAAAAAAAACAATTTCAGTGTGAGTCTAGTACTTCAGTGTGGTTGTATTTAACTAGTATTCATTCCTACTTGTTACTTTTCCCATACCAAAATAATTTGCTACCATATACAGTCAGTGCGGCAGTTTTTAGGGAGTCGATTATTAAGTATATTTTTAGCACTTAGTATTCTTTATCTTTTAAGTTTACGTACAAAACATTTCAAGTGAATTTAAACAATTTGAAAGTTCTGGATTCTACTTTTTTTAACAAGATGAGTGAACTAATAACTATTAATATATCCGATCTCCGTTGGCAGGTATTTGTGTTATTGTTTGGGCGGTCATTGGTCTTATAGGCTTTCGGAGAACTTCCTATTAATGAGCTCTATAATCTGATCATTCATTGACGTTGAGATATTCAATGGATATGAAAGAAATTGAACTAATAATAAGAATACAGTGCTGCGTGATGACATTCATCTTTATCCAATTTTAAGTAAAAGTGTGACATCCTACATTTTTCAGTATTTTTTTTGTTCAGTTAGTGCGTTAATGATGCATTTAAAAGTTAAATTTTTACTGGGGACTTCGTTTTTAATCATCTAAAGCTGTATTCAGTGAATACGCTACTGTGAAGCATCACAACTTTCTGGACGAAAAAGCTTAAAACTGGACGTTAGAGCTTCAGATAAAACCCTCAGTGAAAAGTATGCTCTCATAAACATCATTCATCTACTAAATGAACGGAAGAATGCTAGATATTGAATATATGGTGTACATTGAGAACCTGATGAGTTACAAATTCATGGACACATAAATTATTTGTATAACGTTTAACTGAATAATTTTCGCTTCAACATTTTCTGTATAATTAACCAAATGATTGATGATATCGTGTACAACACTTACAGGTGGCATAGGATCTTGCAAAACCTTTGGTAAAGCTTCTGCTAATTTTTTTGTACTCCTATCCCATCTTGCACCGTCCACAAACAGACCAGACACATAAGCTCCTATTAGGTAGAAAGAAAATAGTCAATAATATTAGAAAGAATTATTAACACAAATACAAATAAGATGAATTAGTGGTAGGTACAAATAATTATATAGAATAGATGGAATTTGGCTAGCGGTGAAATCTAGGACACGTATTTCGTCTTATTCGGGATTCACCATAAGATTGACAAGATACTAAATTGTTTTAATCAATGCCTTATTGGAAATTATTTAAATGAAAAAAAATATTACCGAAAACATACGATGATTATTTAAACGGGATACCGTTCAGATGATCTTTTTCTCTGATAAAAGACGGAATGTACTGTCATTTCATCGAAAACATTTTTGAAGTAAAAAAGCCAATAAAAAAATGAATATTTTCCACCAGATCTTAATTGACATGACGGTAAATGTCGTTAGAATTCCATTGGATTATTGGCACATTTATAATAATTACAGTTACAATACTAGATTTATTATGATGACCATAGGGATTTAGATGAGTTGGTCTACTTACGCCTGTTACACCTCGTGGAGGAGCATAGGCCGCTCACTAGCATTCTCCAACGAACTTCATCATGAGTAATCCTTCCCAGTGATTTCCAGTAACTACTCATCCTTTTCATGTCTACTTCCAATTCTCGCCGCAGTGCATTCTTTGGTCTTCCTCTTTTCCGTTTCCCTTCAGAATCCCAAGTCAGCACTTGACTCGTGATGCAGTTTGGTGATTTTCACAATGTATGTCCTATCCACTTCCAATGTCTTCTCCTAATTTCCTATTCAGATGGAAGTTGGTTTGTTCTCTCCCATAGTAGTCTGTTGCTGATGGTATCCAACAGACGGACATTCAATATCTTACGTAAATAATTGTTTATAAATACCTGTAATTTCTTGCTGATGGTTGTAGTCTAGCGAACATGAACACGGGTGGGGAGAATTACAGAGTACCGCACTAAAATCTGACAACCATACCGTAAACAGTTAATTTGCGAACTACCAATCAATTGTCTCAATCTTGACTATTCCTCTAGCAAATATCAGTCCATAGTCTCCGATTATTATTGTTTATGCATTTTTACACCAATTGCGTTCCGTTTCCATTCTTTCCTTATCGATCTTCTAGTGAAATACATTCAACGCCCGACCATCAATATATACTACTTGTGTGGATATAAGTAGCCGACACCGCAATAGTAGTTCTCGAAGTTCCAGCTCCGTACAATGGAACTAACTGTATTGACGTTTGTATTGAAGATCCTGACTTTGATATTGGTTGACAGTTGTTTTGAGTCCCACATGTTCTTCAACTGTATGAATTCTGTCCTGGTTTTGCCAATCCTTGCCTTTACGCCTGCATCAGATCCCCCTGGTTCATCGATGATGCTGACCAGGTACGTGAGTTTCTACCTCTTTTAGAGTTTCTCCATCAAGTGTGACTGGGTTGGTGTTCTTAGTATTGAATTTGAGAATCTGGCTTTTTTCCTTGTGTATGTTGAGGCTTACTGATGAAGAGGCTTCTGCTACACTGGTTGTCTTGACCTGCATACATTTGGTCGTATGTATGAATGAAAAGTGCTAGGTCATCTGTGAAATCCAAATTGTCTAGTTGTAAGTAAGCTGTTCACCATATTGTTCAATGTCACGTAATCGTTCAGTGACGTTCGGCTTTTGAGTCTTGTTGTAATGAATCATCTTTGAAATTTCCTAGCCTACCTTGTTCAGTCGCCTCGTTTTTTCTAGTTTATTATTTAGCGGACAGTACTTTGTATGATTAAAATTTGCTTGAATTTCGCGTGTGTTACCTTGAAAATCATTTATTTTACGAAACAAGCGGATGGCTGAAGGAAGTTTGGTAGTCAATAGCCATAGGATAGAAGAAACCGTCTTCGTACCTACGATTTACTGAGGAATTTCGCTAAATTCCATCTAGAAATGCAGGTACACTTTGGACCGTAACTGGAAAATGTTTCACTGACATATCGATTAGGAAATTCAACTATAATAAATTGAAGATAAAATTTGTATATTTCTTATGGATAGTTAGTTTGTTTTTTCTATTTTCCATAAGCTTGTTTAGCTCCTCGTGTTAAAAATAATGTCTTTAATGTTATTGATGTACTTTTTCAAACGCATGACTTTGATTAGAATTTCCATATTATGAATTGGACATTCCTATACTCACTGAGAAAATACAAAATCATGTATACTTTCTAGAAATTCTACGAGCTAGAATTTATTACCTTCTGATGGAGCCTCTGTATATTTGATGTCATCTAATACTTCGAATTCAAAAGATAATAGATCAATAGGTATTGTGTGCTTTCGTGCATAATTTTGTTGTACACCAGTAAGAAAAGCTTGCGTGAAAAAGAAACCAGATATCCAGAATTCCGGTGGAGGTCCTTGTTCATACCATACCTAATACATGGAATATTATTTCGAATAAAAGAAATATCTTATTATATCTGTAATAAGAGGAAATAATGCTAATAATCACTGTTACTGTTTAATTTCATCTTATTAGATTTACACATAAGATATCTTCAATAGCGTTACAATAGAAGAACCAGATGTACTGATAAATGATGAGAGGAAATAGGGATGAGTATTAGGATTGAAAAATGAAAATAAGTATGATATCCATTTACGCAGTCGTTCTAAGATGAAAAGAAAATTATAGGTCTTTAGACTATGATCACTGAGTTAGCAGAATAGGTTAATGGTTATTATATACAGGATTAATTTAACCGTAAGATAAGTTCACTTAGTGTAGTGTTTATGTTTTATTGATTGCTCTTACAGAATTATCACTTTTAAAATCATAACGAATAAAGATGGTGATCAGAAGGGGTTTCGTGGATATTATAGTAATTTTTAATAGCTTAGATCATGAATCAATTGAAGCTAGACCATCAGGGAAAACCTCGAAGCACTGGACGGCCACTTTTTCCTACTGTGGGGCTCCTCATCAGTGCGCATCCATGATCCTGCCTCGCGAGACTCGAACCCAGGACCTTAAATTGATTCATGATTTCTACTATTAAAATTACTATAATATCCACAAAACCCCTTTTAACAATAATCAACATTTGCTCACTAGTGACTGGCTTCAAGAGGTATTTCCTGGAGTTCTAGTGAGAAGCAGTGACCAGTGGAGTTCAACCACGTCTGTTCTGAGATAGTAACTCACTGAAGACAATGGTGGATGTGTCGTTCAATTTCGCTGATCGGTTGAAGTCAGACATTAGCACCTTTGGATGCCAGCCGGCTCAGTGGTCTATCGGTTAAGTGTTCCTGTGCGGGAGTTGTAGGTCCTGGGTTCGAATCTCGTGAGACGGGATCGTGGGTTTGCACTGCTGAGGAGTCCCACAATAGGACGAAATGGCCGTACAGTGCTTCCAGGTTTTCCATGATGGTCTAGCTTCAATTCATTCATGATCTTAACTATTAGAATAAAGATGGGTTTTGTGCTAACTATTCACCATAGTATTCTAACCAATTAGGATCAACTTATGATATTTTATTTTTAATTACTAATAACTTTTGTTCATTTATTTTATTATGTAATGGATTATTTCAAAACTTATGATCTTCCATTATAATTTAAATTGACATTTGAAAGCATTTCTTTTAATAAACTATTAAATTGTAACATCTGATCCAATATCCTTAACTCCATTTAGATTCGTTTAATATTCACTACAACATAACAAAAAAAAGGGGGGGGGGTTAACATTGGTAGTTTTGATCATTGTGATGAAAAAGTTAATAGTCAACTTATTAGTATCTAATATCAACCTAATTCAATGTTCTATCATTGAAACCCAACTTCTTGTTTCTAAAGATTGAATATTATTTGTGTTTTCATTTTAATTGACAAGATTTTTAATAATCTGAAAACTTTAATTGCGTTTCTACTACATGATGGAAACAATGCTGAACTTTGATGAAAGTGATCTTAAACTACTTATATTCATCAGTAGTATATATTAGTCAAGTGAATTATTTCATCAATAATATGATTATAACAGAATATAAATACTTTTGAAGAATAATTTTACCTGAAGAAATTTTAAACGTGCCAAAAAATCATTTACATATGAACCAAGTGGTTTTAATGATGGATATGATTTTTTCATCCATAATTTTGGAATTTTTGAAGCAAGTATTGCAGCCACAACATCTTCTAAATCAGATGACATAACTACTAAACCTTTAATAGCTAATCGAATATTTTTAAGACTTGAACGTATTATACTCAAGAGTACATTGAAACGAACCATTTCTTGTACTAATACTGTATTCATACTTTGTTCATAGCATGTTGGATACTTTCGTAATACTAATTCTGTATCAAAATTTAATGGTAGACGAGTTAAAACATCAGAAGCAACTCCATCAACTATATCATCGAGTGATTTACCAGATGATGATGTTCCTTTTGCCTGTAAAAGATAATTAAATAGACATTTGGCACTTATGAAATCTTTTAAATTATCAACAATCATTATATTTCATTGTATTATCGGCTGATTAATAATTCGATGAAATTATTAGGAGCAACTCGGATATATAGTGAGAAATCTATTTTGTACATTCGAATTATCTAAAAAAATAACTAAAGATAATCAACTCTCCGTAAATTTAGAAGTAACAAGAGGTTTTTCTAACTTAAGTGTAAATGGATTGTTCAAATCTTCATCCTTCACTAGGTTTTAGAACAGAAGCACACTGATGAGTTGATCTAAGTTGTTTGTTTCGTTTGGAGAGATAGTGCTTCTATAATTTCTACCAACTTTCACGTTTCGTGACTCAGGAGAGAAGACTATGTGTTTATTAGAGAATGGGTATCCTGTACAGCTATTTAATCCAAATGAGAAATGGAGTTCAAATTTTGAGGTTATTAATGTGCTCACTCATAAGGAAACCACGAGTTGGCGAGGCTAAAATTAGGGTTTTAAGCAAAAATTGGCAATTCGACTGACAAGATGTGAATCCTTATAGACTAGATCGGTTGGAGCCAATCTTCCCTTTGCCCATCACAATGTTCATTCCTGGTTAGCATTGATGTAAACTGGAGAATATCTAAAGAAGGACATAAGAAGATGTAGCATTGGTCTAAATACTGACTGAATATTGGACTGAGTCACACTGAGAGGTGTCATATGCAGATTATAAACCTTGTGTGAGATGGGTTCAAATAATCTGTCAGTCGTACAACAGAGTCTGGATCTCGGTTTCTTTAAATCTTGGGTTTTCTTTGTTGTACATCATTTTTATTCCTTTACTTCATCATTTCCTTTCTAAATATGAAGGTTATTTGGGCTTTTGATGTTATTAACATTATTGCTTCGGCTCATTTAACTTTCATATTGTTCACTTCATCCTACTTTGTTGATATGAAATCTGGCGTCTTCAAAAGATGTTTGTTTGTGTCAGATATTACTTATTAATTTATAAATGACTAACTGGTTTCTTCATTCTGATTATAAAGATATTAGTAGATCAAAGGACAGAAACTATGAAAAGTTGCTAGTAACTAGCACATAAATCAATAATAATTTAGTTCATTTCAATTAAATGGTAGGTCCTAATTTGTTAATTTATGTCATTCTTATCCAGCTTATTTAAATAAGAGAATACAACACGCCAAGTGTATATACTCTCAACCGAAATCTCCTTAATGATGGAATTCAACCATTCTCATCAGAACATCCTTTCAAATGAAGATAAATGGTGGCTGTTAGCAAATCATACTTCATATGAACTAGTCAGTAATAAGTAGTTGGCCAAACAATGAAGCATTTTAGAACAAACTAGTTTAAAGCTCTAAACAATGAATAAGTGACCCATCAAATTATGAAGTGAATAGCTTTCCAATAATTGATTGAAGGCAAATGTGACTATGAAGGTTCTTTTGAAAGAATTCGTAATCGCTAAAAGGGTACTTGGTGTCGATGAATATTGATAAAAATTATTGGAGCAAATAAGTTCGCATTGTATAAAATAAAGCTATTAAGTGTCAACAAATTCTTCCTTATTGAAAATTCAGAAGTTATGCATTTTTAGAACGGTAGTTACTCGGATTCAGTTAGTATCCTTGACTATTAAGTGAGCCTATATATGAACTAGCTCTTTAAATACTGTTCATTACATAGTTTTATTTAAAGTTTTTTGGATCAGTGACTAAAACTAGAAAAAAACTGTGAAGTTGAAGTGTATCACACAACATTGGGATAAAATAGGTTTGCTGTGGTTTAATTTACAAAGCCACTATATATCCTTCATTGTTTGTTTGAATTCAGTAAATGAAGTATAGTTCAGAAAATAACCAAAATCGACTAAAATTTAATTTTTATCAGACCAATATAAACTTAAATAAAGAGAGTTCAAAAGTGATCAAGAACAAACAATATTAGGCACTGTAAAAAACTGCAGATTCAACAGGAATCCACAAACGAGCATTGGAATAGGTTGAATTGGATTATGCTCAACTAATTCAAAATGCCTTCTAAACAGATTTCTGATATGGTGAGCAATGACTAAATTGCATAGAATGCAGGTCACATCTTAAATTGGGTTTTTTTCCAGTCATCTGTGACATGTAATCAGAAAGGAAGCAAGGAAAGTTTCAGGAGGTAAGTTTAATTGTATAATATTGTAAATACGTTTATACAGTAAGTTATAAACTGATATTAAATACTACTCAGTTCAATTTATATAAATCTCACTGTAAATAAATCATGTAAAATGTAGTGTGTTTATGCATCATTTTAATTTATTTCGAAGGGTCAGATAAATCGATTTCAGCAGTCTTCGTTTCCTCACTATGCGTCATCGGATTTAGAATATCAGTACCGAGATGATATCATGCTCAAAGATTAGAAGTCACAGTCAGGTTTTAACTGATTGGAGAATGAGTGACCTATAAAGTAATGTCCCCCAATCGCCTATGACATCTTATTAAGTCTATTTTGTGTTTGGATTTTGCATTTAACCACGTCATTTTATTACACGAAAAAAACTAATCATCTGGCTAGTGGTTTTGTGTTTGATTTTTAGTCATTCGGCGCTCTAAGTCAATTATATGGTCTCATTTGTAGTCATTGACCGGTCACATTTCATCATTGCGTTCATCTATCGACTAGCGTTCTATCCATTGATTTTAACTATCATGATTTCATGCCACACAGAAAACTTAATCCATAAAAGTAATGACGTGGATAAAAAACAATTTTCAGAATGTCGTTTTCTATGGACAAGTGCAATTCATTATTCATTCAGTTAATACCATTTCAGATAAAACTTATTGAAATGCTTCTAGATGTGTTAAACCCTCAACTCCACTCACATATCTTTAGTTTAAAATTTAATTTAGCCCAGAAAGAACGCATTACAGAAAAAAAATCTCAGTTCATGAAGCAATTCAATGATTCAAAACAATGATACAACTAAGTCAATGAACAGTCTTAATGTCATTGTTGATTCAATTTCAGCCATAGCATTGTGGTTAAAGTTTCTTGCAAATTTCTTCATTTCAAGCTTAGAATCTCCAATTTTAATTACACAACATTCATCTGAGTCAATTAACTATTCCGCATACAAAACAATTTCCACCTTTTTTTTTACTGGTTTGTCAAGAATTTCACTGTTCAAAAGATCAATGAAATCAATTAACTAATTAAGAATATTTGGTTATTGAATAAACAATCCTAAACCCTTTTGAATACTATTATTTAAATTTGACCAAAATGTATATTTTGCCAACTTACTTGAGTTAAAAGTATATTTGTAAATATTAAATTGGTTTCTTGTTGATCTTTAGTAATATCAGCATTTTGGTGCATACCGAAAATTTCTGGATCAGGATTCAATGGAAGTGTTTTTATATAATCAATATAACCTTCATACTAGAAAAAAATAATGGAATAAAACTATGAAATTAGATAAATGATTTCAATGAATTGCTTGAAGTGATCAGAATGAATACTCTACTAAGGAAGCTAGATACTTTTTAGAAAATATAATCACTGGCTGATTGAATGAATATTTTAACTGGGGGGAGGGGAAATAAAATTGTTATTTTTATACAATATACGACATTGATGTGGATTATTCGATGTTGGATGATTTTGTTTCAACAATTTGGTTGCATGTTAAGAAAATGGAAAAACGAGAGAAGAATTCAGACAACAACACTAGGAGTGTTGGGAAAATAAACATTAGAAAATATAAAGTGAAATGAATGAACGAAATCAGAGGGAAGTGACATGATATTTAGAATTAAAATAAAGAGGAAGAAAGTAAGTGAATCTTTACTGGGACTGAGTTTGCATCATAACCACAACCAGCAGGATTGCATCTTCCGATATAACTTTGTGAAACAGAAAATCAAAACATCGGCTTATGCTATGTCTCCAGCTGGTCACATCTAGCGATTTCCCAACTTACAACACTTCACTTCATAACAGGTGGTAGTTGGAGGAGTATAACAAATCGTTTGACTCTCTCAGTCTATGAAGATTACGTTTTCATGTTGCTAGCTAGATACATATCCTGATATTTATGCCGTTCATGGGTTAGATCATTTATTAAAACAAAATAAATTAGTATTATTTCTAGTATCATTATACTTTCTATTTTGTTTTCTAAAAATATAACTTTAGTTTTCTATTGCACTGAGTGTTAGACAGCATTAATTGACAAACAACTCTACATTTAAATAATCTTTCCGTCCACTTTGTTAATTAATTGTGCTTCTAATCCTTAATAAACTCATATACTCTTTTCCATCAGTATGAAGTTAAAGATGCAAGCTCTGTGGAATAAAATAAAACTTACATCAGTATCTTCAGGTGCATAATAGATTCCACTTGAATCGAATAGATGTTTTACTTCATTAACAACTTCTGGACAATAGAAACGCATTAAAACTGTTTTTAAAGTGCGCCTATCCCATTCATCAGTAACCCGACCACCATAATTACATTCTCCGGTTAAATAACGTAATGCTTCATATTGAACATCCTACATAAATGAAATATGAGTGAAACAATGAAAAGCAGTTAACCATATGTATTATAATAGTATAATTTATATCATACTAATTATATGAAAACAATAGACTAAAAAACAGCAATCAATGCTACTTCTAGAAAAGAATTACATTTGAAAATTAAGGGTATTATTAATTTTAATAGTTGAAAGCATGAGTAAATTGAAGCTAGACCACCAAGAAAAACCTGGAAGCACTAGACGGCCGTTTCATCCTATTGTGGGGCTCCTCATCAGTGCGCATCCACGATCTCGCCTCGCGAGATTCGAACCCAGGGATCTCCACAAAACCCCTTTTGGTATTATTAATATTGAAAAGTTTACAATATGATTAATTCCTATGGAACACCGAGATGATGAATGAATATGTGATATATGTTATTTATTTGTACGAACAATAATTATGTTCGAAATTAAATACAGTTAGTCAGCTACAACGTAGGACCAGGCACATATATGCATCAGTCCAAGTTGCCATGCCTCATTAGCACAACAAGATGAACACCTAATTCATAGAAGTAGGTACTTCAATGGTAGTAATATATAAAAGAAAGATTCTGTATAGTACAGGAAGAAAGATATGAGGTAATTTTAGTCTCACAATCTAAGGAAAGACAAAATGTTTATACACCAACGCCATTGTGATCGAATCTGATCCATGTCACACAGAGTCTCCAACTGTTGGTTACGATAGTCATGCGGACCCTAACCAAGTAGTCTGCATCTGCCAACATGGCTCAGACCAGAAGTTAGTGACTTCAAGGACTGATGCCATGTTTTGGTTTGGCCGCCCCTACCTTTCTTCCATCCATCTCTAACACTAGTCATCACTGAAAAAATCAAATAAACTTTACATTTATTTGTTGGAGCAAAAAAAATAAGTCATAATAGTGGAAGCTATTGAGTTTGCTACCTATGAATACATACTTCATTTAATTCGAAGTGAAATCATAAGTTGATAATAGTATTAATGGTGTCCAGTTTCACAATTCATTATGTTATACAGTAAACCAGTATTATTCACAAGATGGAGGGGGTTTAAAACTTGGGAATGTGAAGAGAAAAATTTGAAGTCCCTAATCACTGATCCATTGCTCGATATTGGTGATATTGTAAATAATTAACATTTACATTGCTAAGAACCGTATGTATGAATTAATGTGAGCGTAACAATAAAAATACAAAATAATTGTTTAATTATTAAAGAAATCAAACTGAAGAGTTTTATGTACAACATGCGTAATGTTAGACATGTATTCATCATAAATCAATATCAACTGAGCAACCTATCAGGCTCATTCGTTCACAGTAGATATTACTGAAATAGGCATATCTTAAATTTTATATAATCAATAATGGTTTACATAAAAATAACTAGAAACTAACACTATACTGTCCAAGAAACATATGTAACTGTTGAACTGATATACGTAAATCTGTTTCATTAAATTCATACGGTGTATTCCAACCAAGTGGTCCAAATTTACGTCTTTCTTGTACAATAGCATGAAAGAATACTAATCCAAATAATAATTTTTTCCAAGCATGTTTATTTGAACATGATTGAAAGAATTCTTGATCTGAAATAGGATCGCTTAAATATGATCTCCATAGATTAAAACGTAAACCTTTCGGTGGTTCATTAGTCATTTTAACACCATTTTGTAAAATTGATACAGGAAAATCTTTACTTGGATAACTTGTCAACCACAAACGAAAATCTGGATGTGTTGTGTCAGGATTAAATTCTTCCACTCTTTTCTCTAAAATACCCATCCAACTTGGTGCTAAATGACAATTTTGTAGTAACACCCATGTACCATCTTTTATACCATGTTCTATCATTTTTAAAGCAATCGGACCTTGACCTTGACCAAGTGATAATGATTCAAATTTTGTACCACCAAATCCCATATCTTCAGCAAATTTTAATAATGCTACCATAGGATCAGCACCAGGTGATAAAACAAATAATAACGGTAGTGTACATGAAGAATCAGAAAATGCACCTGGCAAATCAAATGGTGGCGGTTCAATATATTTCTTGCCTAAATTTGTTAAAACAAAATTCTGTATAGCTGGTACAATTTTATCTGGTCGTAAAACACGTAGTATACAAAGAAATTGCAATTGTGTTTTAATTTGTGTTAAATCAGATGGTAATTTTTCATTATGTGGTTCAACACTATCATATATACGTTTCCATGCATTAAGATTACGTTCGAAGTGTTCACGTATACCAGTAAAAACACTGATTTCATCTAACCGACATAATTCATCCCATGATTTAGTTTGTAACCAATTGGATGGATTTACATGTGGATTATCTAAACCAACACCACCGGTTAATAAAAATCTCCATTCTTGTTCATTTAACAATCCTTCATGACGAAGCATATTGATTGAAAGTAAGAATGAAAATAGTAGTTTATCTTTTTCAAATAATGATCGACATACATTACAATATAATGAATATGTTAAATAATTTCGTAGATTAGTTAAACGTTGTTCCAGGTCGTCAGATTTCTCAGAATTATCAATACCCATTATAAATAGATTAATAAACCATGTTAATGAATATTGATACATAGGATCAATATTAGCTAAATCTGATATTGAAAAGAATAAAATAGCTGTATGTATAGCAATTGGTACATAACCTAAACGTGCTACATCAATTTTTTGTTCAGTTTCTTCAAAATATGCTTGTTTCTCGGCTATTTCATTAGATAATTCTTTAGATGAATTTAATACTTTAATAGCACTTTCATCTTCTAATATATTGCCTTCAGATGATGATAATACACCAAGTATTTGATCTTCTAATTCTTTTAATTTTTTTTTATTTGCAGCACCTTGTAATATTAATTTATTTTTTTCTTCTTCTAATTCTGGTCTTTCACGTGCAACTACAATACCCAATAATTGATCTTGTAAACCTTCTTCAGTAATCATAAAATTTACTAAAGTTACTTTTACTGAAGTTTCTGGTAAATAATGTGGATTTCTTAACTAGAAATATATCAAATAAGAAAGAAATAGAATTTAGAAACAAAAAAATTATTCAATACTAATGAAGAATTTGAAATACAATTTTGTTAAATGAATCAATTCTAAGGTTTAACTGCTTTTAAGTAGTATAGAAAACATTAGTAAAATATCATCAACTTCTTATTGATATTGTGTTCATTGAATAATGATACTCACTCATTATTACTTTAAAGGTTTGTATATCTCTTAGAGATTTTTAAAGATTGTTGTGAATAACTCTCCAGTTTTAGGTCATTAATATCTCTCTATATTAAATCTTCTAAAGTGCTACGTGAAAGGTCTTGCACATTATATATATCCAAGAGTATAGTATAATGTTATTGGAATAAAATACTTAATAATCTACATATAACATATATTCGTTCATGGGAAACTAAATTTTGACTTATATTTTGGATCGTGTTTGGCATTGGAATTTAGGATTTATCCCCTCATTATTTGGGATTGTTCAAATTCATGTACCTGCATCGCAATGAATCTTTAACGTAGAACCATCGCTTCAAATACCACAATACAGTTGTGAATATAATCAGAAAGATACAAATAATAATACAAAATAAAAAATGCTATAAGTGTGCATCATGTTCAATGAAAAGGTTGTGGTCGTTACGACTACAACAGTCAAGTGAATGCTGTTTTTCTTTATGGATCAATATGTATTGAATTTAAGTTTCAACATCAATACTAGGATGCATGTATTTCAGATGATTCACAAATAGAACAAAACGTGTGTTAGTAATTACAGTGGTATGCAGTATACTGAATATAGTCAACTTCTAAATTCAAGTGACACGATGATTGTTTAAGGAGTACATATATCAAAAGTGAAATTGTTCACTTCAATTCTCAACTACTGACAATATGAAAATATGAAAAGTAGTCAAGGTGGATATTTACTTGAAAAAAAAATCAATGTTACACTTTTTAATACTAAAAATATTTCACATGGAAACCAAATTCTCACTTTAGTTGTCATATAAAAACGAAATTCCGGTGAATATTCAACAACTGAATCACCAATTTTAATACATAATGCACCACCTTGTTTAAATGTTTGTTTTAATAATAATGATTCTAACATTGGATCTAATTCTTCACCAATATTTTCTAATAATACTGGTGTACCAAATTGTATACAACTTTCTAATGTGCGAACAAAATCACTATCAGTTAATTTGATAATTTGTAAATTATTCTTTTTCTCCATATTTTTTATCCATTTATTAGCTTGACTAGTTGGATCAATCATTAATGGCCAACGTCTTGCATTACTAACAAGTAATACGATGTAAAGAATGAAAAAAGTAATTATAACTAAATAACTAAGTGAACAATTAAAACAACAGAATTGTGTAGACTACTTAAGTTGAAGTTAGCTTACACCACATACTCACATCAGTCTGAAAGCTAGAATACAACTATTCCTTTCTGATATGGGATGGAATGTGACAGACACAACGCTCGAAATCTATTTTGATCACTATGAAACCAGTCGGTCTTTCGTTCTGTCCGTAGTAAGGTTATAGCTGTATGTGACTGTTTGGTGGTGTACAATTAAGAACAGAAGGCATTACTGTGTTTACTGTTCTTTAACGGAAAGTCAATCAGAAGTAGCAAAATATCAAGCGATAGCAACTAGAAGTGACTTAAAGATCAAGTACATTTTATTGGGGTCAATGTGTCAATTCCCTAAGGATAGAGTGGTATATATAAAAGTGAGTATTTGTGCATTTCGTTTATTACACTTTTCACTCAAGTATTCAGTTAAGGGGTTTGAGCATTGCATACCGTTTATCAGTATTATATTTTCTGACACCGTCAGTCACAACAATCTATATACAGTTAACTAATCTCTGAAAGACAAACTTAGGAATATATGGTTTTCTTTAAAATTTCTGACTTTACTCTAACATTAAAAAGTATTTATGAAATTGAAACTGAGTAAGTCACCGTTTAAAATCCTTTTTTGCTTCTTATAATTTTCGTTGGATTTTAATTTCCATTAAGAATAAAACTACTATGATAATTTGATTTATAATATTGTATATTTGAATGAACTATTATATTGAATTCATAAATTTAATTAATTTAAAATTATTTAACTATACTAGAGAAATTGAAAATTTCCCCATCATCTTCTAAATGCCTTTTCAAAAGTTTTTCTGAAATAAAATGAAATCATTTTCAGAATCCGAAACTCATTATTCTGTCTCCTTTTTTTTCGGAAGGTCATTCAGAAAAACTATTGATTCCAGCTACTGTGATCACTTTATAGACTTAGTTATTCCGATTTGATTAGGTGAGAAACTGTTCATTATAGATATTCTTATAGCTCTTGTGTATTTATTAAGTAGAAGAGTAAATCTTAGTAGTGAATAAATAATCCACTTAGTTACAAAAGTGAGATATCATATCATGTGTTTAGGTTGCTGAATATGTTAAATGATATTAGACTTTTATAAGATATGCGTTAAACTGTTTATGATCATAACGAGTAGTTTAATCATAAGAATTCAATAACCAAAGCTTGAAGAAAAAAAACTCGATTAATGACAAATACAATAATTAACAATACATTATATCGAGGCAGTACGCAAAGTATGCACATATGCCAATAAGAGACTGATCAATCGCAGTCCTAAATAACAATGGGATGATACAAGTAAACAACACAAAGTGAATTTAAACTTCACCCCATTGCACAAGCGAATGGCTATCTGGACTCAGTAGCTGAGTGGATAACACGATGGCGTTTGAAACGAAAGGTATTGGGTTCGAGTCCCAGAATGAACATCAACTGTGAAATGCAGGTACATCCAGCTGACGAGTCCCAAATAGGACGAAATGCGCATCCTGGATATCACTGCTAGCCACTATCCATCTTTGCCCATAATACTCGTGAATTAAGGCTACATCGAGACAATACGCACAGTATTCACATATGTCAATAAGAGACTGACCAGTTGCAGTCCTAAAAATCAATGGGAAGATTCAATCAAACAATACTTAGTGAATTTAATACATTTTAGTATTTGAATTAAGAATAAACTTAAGAGATAGCATGAAAAAAACAAACAACAATTTAACTTACGCAATAATTATTCCATTTTCAATTGAAAAATCATCTGTTGGTAAACCAGCAATATTCCATGCTCTAATATCAACTGGATTACCTAATGTATGTACTAAACTAAATGATTCTGAACATGGTATTGAATATTTCATAATTTCATTTAACCAAATTTTTACTTGTATTTGACGAAATGTTGATGTAAATGCACCTAAATAAGCAACTAATCCACTAGATATAAGTATATCACCAGTTAAATTTGTATATTGTTTACCAAGTGATTTAGCTGCTTCTGTCCAACGTGATTTTTCACCGCCTAAACCACCAATTAATTGTTCAGCACGTTCTAATTTTTTGGTACATAAATCAACTTTATTTTCTAATTCAATTTTTTTACGTTTATTCATTTCTAAATCATCTGTTAATAATTTTAAACGATCTTGTACTTCTTTAAGTGCGGCACGTTTTATATTTAATGCATTCATTGCTGTATTATATTCAGACATTGCTTTAGCTAAAGCTTCTTTTTTAGGTGCTACAATTTTTGCTACAATATCATAACGTTCTATAGCTATAACCCATTTACATAAACCTTCACATGCTGTTGAAGCAACTGCAACACGTTCTGGTTTAAAATCAGGATTTGGTATATAACGTTCACGTATTGTTTTCATTATTGATAATGGTATATTATCTTTATCAAAATTTTTTAAATTTTCTAAAAATTTCATATCACCAAGTAATTTTTTTGATGGACCCCAATAATCTTCAATTTTTTTACCTGATCCACTAGGATCATTTATACGATCAGGTTTAATACCTTTTAAAACACAAACAGCTTCCATAACTAAACGTACACCAGCTGGTGGTGATTTCATTGTTTTAACAATAGTGATATCCTGTTAAGTAAATTAAAATAGATTGAATATATATGTAGTTAGAAATTTCAATTAATAATAGTATGATAACTTTGTAATAGAAAATCAGTATAACTCGTAGATTGCAATAATCGTTGTAGTTCCATCAATTAGTTCATTGAAAAAGCTTGGACCATATTGCTAGGCGAAACGTTAGATTTACTTCAAATTCATTCGCTGAGGTTCTACAAATATATATTATTCCTATTTAATAGTTCTGACTATATTACAATGAGAAATATTAGTTTTCTATTGATATGAATTCGAGTGTATAAGTGGAATTTGGTTATGAATACCAATGAGTACATAGTGAAGTGACTACCACACGTATCTGTGAACATTCTGTGTATAGCATTGGGACTTTTTTTAAATCTTCACCTAATGGAGTTCACATTAGGTGTTATTTATTAAAAATTAGTGGATAAATATATGAAAAACATAAAAGTATTAATTTTGAATCAGATAACACACTTTCATGATAGATCAATGCGTTGACTTCTTATCATTTAGATTTTATTTCAGTAATTATACAAAATATGCACACTTCATCGTTGACTGAGGTCAACGAATAGTCTAGGAGCTTTATCGTTTTAGTGTAAATCTTAGAAAAATCCAGAAGTGAACATCAAATCTAAGATCCAGGTACATCCAGCTGACGAGTCCCAAATAGGACGAAACGCGCGACTTGGATTACACTGCCAGCCACTATCCATCTTTGCCTAGAAGTGATATTGATCATTTTTAAATATTTACATAAGAAAGAACTTAAGCTATATATTTAAAGAAGTAAAATAAATTAGTTTAAATTCAAGGAAATTCTGTTGAGAGGTTTTTGGTCTCTGAGCTGAATGGTTCGGTTATCAAGATTTCATTATTCTTCTAGGTAACATCATCACCAAGTTCCTCAAAGAGAAATGAACTATTCTCATTTCTCTACAAATCACTAACAGCTTGTTGTGTTCAAATACAGTTTAGTAGGCTCTTATTCATAACTCTAAGGTGATTGTTTGTATATTTGTTTCGATTTTCTTCTCTCATGATCTGAACTCTGAGTTTTCACTTGTTAATCCTTTACCTAGTCAGCTGATAGATTTGGTTGATTTTGATGTGTTTAGTGATTGATGTTTGATTAGATTGACAGTTTTCTAACAATCCTCCGTTTTTCTTTGTGTTTCATCTGTCCAATATTGATACGTTTTCCTAATCAGACTCACGTTCACGGTTATTCACATGCATTAAAAAGAAAACGAAGTTATGTCTTGTTATTTAACAGCAGAATGATGTTCATGCAGTCGTAGACAAAGATGGTGGCTACTTCAGAGGTGCTATTTATGTTCTTTATGAGTGTATACTTCTTATACATAATTTCAAACTAAGGCGAAAAAATCATCCAGTGGTTTAGTATTTTTTTTACTAGTTTATTGGCTGAACAATAAACTTCATCATTTAGTAAATACTTTCGATAATATTTAACTTACAGCCGGTGTCAGTGTTTCTAGAGCTTTTAATGCTGATTCTAATATCGGTATTGCTTCAGCTAAATCATTATCACATTCTTCTTTTATTGTTTCAGCAGCTTTTGCTTGTTCACCAGCAACCGCTTCATCAACACGTACAATTTTTTCTTGTTTTGCTGCTTCAGCACTTTGTTGTTCCACAACAATCATAACTTCATCAACTTCTTTACTGGCTTGTACAAGTTTTGGTTGAAGTGATTGTAATTCCACTGACATTAAACTAATCTCATTAGCTGCACTACTTAATTTTTCCAGACCAACTTCATAACGACTTTTCTGAGTTGATACTTCCCTTGAAGCAAAAAATAACAAAACGAAATAGTAGATATTTGATATAATCCAATGATTTACATGTTAGAAAAATAATTATGCTGTAGAGATGTGTCACATTAATATGGATAATCAATGATCACCTAATAAGCGTCTGTTTCGGAGCACGTCCCACCTATTTAGTTTCACGAGGCTATGATAATTAAAGGTCATGCAATAGGTGTAACCTAGTTATTAAATCCAGAGTATTAAAATATTGTTTATTTTTAATATTTGTTTCAGGCTGTTTCCCATAATCATCTTAATCAATGGTTTACATTAGAAATACGATTTCTAATATGTTAGTATACTAATTTTGACATTATTTTAAGTTTCTGATTGAGATCATGAATCAATCAATGTTAAACCACCATTGAAAACCTGGAAGCACCGGATGACCATTTCGTCTTAGTATGGGACTCCTCAGCAATGCTCATTCACGATCATGCACATGGGATTCGGACATAAGATCTTTGGTCTCGCGCTCGAACGCTACTAGAATGAAACGGCCGTCTAATGATTCCAGGTTTTTAATGGTGGTCTAACATTGGTCGATTCATGATCTATTTAGATGAATTGGAAGATGAATAAATTTTGTGATCAGGGTGGACTAATTAACTTTTAAATATATTTTAGTCCATATGTTTCAGTCCACAAAGAGAAAAAAAACTTGAATAAAGATATGCCTTCGTGTTTCAAAGTTAGTCAGTTATATTCAAGTTAAAAATTGGCTTATATGTATATTGGTTCAAATTACTACATCATATCAGCACAGCGAGATGCTAGAGTAGTAGAAGTAGTAAAAGTATCAGTGGTTTTAGAAAACATTAGGGATAGACACTATAATTTTAAAGGAAAATATGAATTCGTGGAATTTAGACGTATAAGATAAATTAGGAATTAAAGATTGAAGGGAGGATAAAGAGTGGATACATTCGCCTTTTTTAACCAGTCATTATGGGCCATGTCATCCAACGTTTCCAGCCATTGACTATGACTTTAGATGGTCTGCACCTACTAATATGATTCAGTTCAACAGTCAATGTGTTCATGGACCTATGATACATCTTGATTTGACCATCCTTACACAAAATATGATTTATAAACAAATAAACGTAGGTAAAACAGTAAACTGTCAATTTTTAAATATGGCATTATCAACTAGGATAGTTTACAGAGATAATTCAAGTAGTCAAGAGTGTTATTACAAATAAAAATGCTCTGTTACATCAAATCAATATAAACAACACAATGACAACAAAACTCCTATACAGTCATTATAAAAAGGAAAAAAATGAATACAACATGTTAACATTGTAATCATTTGTGAAGAGCTGTGAAAATTAGTGATAAAACAAAAAAAACAGAAACCCATTAGGAGAAATTAATTTCATATATAATATTTATACTTTATGGAAGCAAGAAAAAAAAGGAAAACAAAAATGAAATATCGAGATGCTTCTTTTTTTAAAAAAAAGAAAGTGAGAATGTTGGGATGATCCCGAAAAATTTTCGCAATAGACATGACAAGCTCTGGAAACATTAAGAAGTATTCTATCCAATCAGCGTTTGATTAGAAGTTTTACTAGAAACATCACGAAAATGAAAAGTCAGATGTAAAGGTTCCGATTGGCTGGTTACTACACTGCTACTATGTTTAGTAGTATTCTAGAATTTTTAAGAAAACCCAAGGACTTCTAAAAATACTATAAAAACCCTATATTTTCTGTACATAAAATGAACCTTTGGAGAAAAGTGCTTCTCATATATATTGCGCCTTTTCTCTCGTGTTTAAGTTTTTGTGTAGTTCTAGCTTGGGGGTTACAAGACTAGCTTAGGATCCGAATATAGCGTTCAATCACCAAGACTTATCAGAGAATATGAAACCACAGTGAATAAAGTTGAATTTTGGAATGTATACACTCAACAATTTGAATGCCATTATAATTGAGTAAAGCGAGTAAATTGCAATGAATTTAGACATGATAAACTAGACCTGTAAATTGACCATTTGAACTACAGATTCTAAGTTATATAATTTTACATCTTAACAAGTAAAATAAAACATGAAAGAAAACTACATAACTTACATTCGTTTTTTTGATAACAATGTTATGAAAGTTGTGATCAATTCAAGATATGATGTAGGTGTTACATAATTGTGTCGATCTAATTCTAATAGAAATCGAATTGATAGATTACATGTACTAGTATGAAAATATTTACATAAATCAATACATCCATTACGAATTTCATCTGTCATATCAATATCTTTTAATGAACGTGTAGCAACAGCTGTTAAAGCATCTTCTGGCCATGCCTTGTAAATTGTTGTAAAGAAACAAATTCATAATAGTTAAAATATGATAATTAATGAAGTTTAAAGAAAATATTTATTTAAAATTGGTTTCCACATTAAAATTGATCCCTGAGATAGAAGTAAAATAGCTTTATGTGTAGATCTTAATGGAACAAAGAAGTCATTGAAATTCGATTGGTACTTGAAGTTTATGATATCTTATATGCTCTACACAAAATAATAAATAGTCAGTTAATAATTTATTGAATAACTAATTCGTCATTTGAGGTGATAGGTACTAGGTTGAATTTCAGTGAAACGAGAAACAATAGGATGAAATTGCATCCATTTGAATAGTTTCGCAAAGGATGAATAATGTATCTTGGATTCTAGCTCTTGTTATTATGTAAAGTTTAACCGACTCGTAAATGCATCTGATATAGACGCATTTAGTGAAAAAGCATATATGCCAAAAAGGGAACTGACCAATTCAGTCCAGAATATCAACAATAGGAAAGTGTTGACTATTACAAATAATGATTATCTAATTAGAGTAGTTGGATCATGGTTGGTAGTGGGATTCAGGACGTACGTTTCGTTCTACTTGGGATTCATTAGTTGAATGAAGTCTCAGAAAAGTGTTGATATTCACATTCGAACTCGAATCCAGTACCTTTGGCTTCAAACGCCACTGCATTATCCACAAATTTCACGGGTATGATATTTATATCATGTCTAGTTTTAGTTTCTACTGTTAGCCATAAACCATCTATTCTAAAAAAATTTGACGTGATGGGTATGTTGAGGGAATCCACACAGGATCCACAAAACACAATAAAGATTATCAATAAATAATATATTTGTAACACCCTAATGAGTAGAAAATCTAATTTTTCTACTAATTGGAATATTACAAATATCAGAAGATCGATAAGGAAAGAAAAGGAACGAAGCGCAATCGGTATGAAAATGCATGAACAATGATATTAGAGAAGGCTAACTGACATTTGCAGAAGGAAAAGTCAAGATTAAGACAATTGATTGTTATTTTGTAAATTAACTGTTGACTGTATGTAAGCAAAGATGGATAGTAGCTGTCATTAAAATCCAGGACGCACGTTTCGTCCTATTTGGGACTCGTCAGCTGGATATACCTGCATCTCAGAGTTGATGTTCAATCTGGGACTCAATGGGAAGATTCAAACAAACAATACTAAGTGAATGTTAACTGTATGGTTATCAAATTTTAATGAGACAGTCTGTAATTTGTACTGAAATACATTCAATTATCCCCACTCATATTCTTATTCACTACACTAATTCTAAATTGATATATTTAAAAAATATAAAAGAATATCTTATTATCTAATTTACCTGAAACCAATCAATTGTACAACAATTAACTAATGAAGGAAATTTTCTTAAACGATTTCTAAATGAGTCACCAATAGGACTTAATGCTAATACAATATGTAATTGTTCACGAACACGTTGTATAAAATAATTAAATAATGATATTGGTGAACCATCAGTTTGTTTACTTCTATCTCTTGCTTTATCAATTTGACGTATTTTTTCACAAAGTTCCATTTTTTCATCATTTGCATAAAGATTCGGTACTTCACCAGCATTTAATAAATTATTAATATCTTCTAAAAAACTTTCTTGTTTAATTTGTGTATCGGTAAATAAGAAAACAGCATGATTATCAGTTTCACTTGATTTTCTTAATATATGCTTTAAATCTTCTCTCCATTCATTATTACCATAACTCTTAGAAATTTCGACCTATAAAATAGTGGAAGAAATAAATTGTAACTTTAGATAAGTAAGAAAATTAATGATTGAATAATTCATAGTTGAAAGCGTAAGTCAATTGAAGCTAGACTATCAGGGAAAACCTGAAAGCACTGGCCACCACAATCCCGCCTCGCGAGATTCGAACCCAGGACCTACCAGTCTCGCGCCAGAGCACTTAACCGATAGACCACTGAGACGGCAGCCAATGGCCGTCCAGTGCCTCCAGGTTTTCCATGGTGGTTTAGCTTCAATTGACTCATGATTTGAACTATGAAAATTAAATTTCTCCTCTCACCACTTATGTATATATACAATATGTTATCTTAACACATCATTTCACATCACAAATCTTTTACACACTAATACTTATATCTAGTATAGACATTTTTAACGCTGATTGGATAACCTATTCAGTGTACAATGAAACGAAGAACCATGTATCTATTTATATTCGATAATTCTGATTATATTTCCCTGAAAAAGCTTGGACCAGATTGCTAGGCGAAACGTTGGATTTATTTCAAATTCATTCGCTGAGATTTTACAAATATATATTATTCCTATTCAATGTTTTACTAGATGTATTCTGAAAAATTCATGAAACCTGATCAACTGATGTTAGAAATGTTAGATCCCCAGAACTCACTTGGTAAACATCTTATTTTTTGTAATTTTATTATGAAAATTTGAATTTCTAGTTTTTGCGTCATAGGCGCCCGTTTTTACTTTTAAATTTTATATAGCATTTGAAAGGACCCTAAATGTTATTGGTTAGATTCCTATTTTAATATGCTATTTTGTAATGTTTCTCAAAGACATTTTTATGCTGTTTATATACGTTTAAGCTGTGCGCTTGTTGTTGTTTGTGCTTTTGATTGCTTGTAGAATAAACTTTCCTTCATCTGAATCTGGACTTTTGCGTCTAGTTAACGGGGTTGGGACTCATAGAAACAGTTTAACTGACTTGTCATTGTTTCGCTGATCCTTCGCTCTGTTCGCCGATTTTTAGCTGATCTCGTAATCTCTTCAAAAATAGCAATTAGTTCCAGCGGTAAGTCAGTTATAAAACCAATTATCAAAATAGATTAATAGTGTATAATCGATCATCATTGTACTTCACTTTAATATGCTTACTTCTTTTTGTAAGTGGGCGTGAACTGGTTAATTCCAATTCAAAGTGATCAAGTATTTCAGAATACTTGTATTAAATAGAAAAAGATTACATGTGAGACATCCAACAAAATTATCTACTGATTAAAGTCTTTTTAATGGTGAGTGAATCTGTCCAAATAAACAAATTAAACTTGTCAGTTATTTCAATGTAGTTTTCTAACTTCTGTAGACATCAATATTAAAAATAATTTAATTCTATCTTTGTAGACCGGAATAAGGTATGGAGAAATGATTTGAATTCAAAACTAATGGGCTTGGAAGAAACATTGACATGCAAAGAATGGTGATATACTGTAGAAAACTCTATTAACATGACAATGCCAGCTTGTATACCTGATTAAACTATTAAACTATTTCGATAGCCGCGTTGATTTAAAACCACACAAATAAACACTTAGTTGAATGTTTTTGCTTCGTTAGTCGAACCGTATTTCGTAGTTTCAACCAAACTAAATATTGAAGCATTATGGTTCACTATGGCTTTTATTTTTAGACTTAGATTCTGATTATAATCTGCCGTAAGTTACGCTAAATGACTTTTAAATGAACTTGTACTATAATCTCCTCTCCCAAAACGACTCTTAACCTAGCCCACAGCCACCAGCAAAACAAAAGAAGCCAGGAACAAATAAAACGACTTCATACCATTCGTTAACAGTCTGTCATAAATCCATATTCATAACGCTTTCATATACAATTAGTAGTGATCAAAATAGCTCAACAACAGTATCATCTGGACTGCTACGTAATACAACTTGAAGTTAGGAAAATATACATTCTTTGAGATATATTTACATCTTCACAAGAATCAGTAACTGCTAAACCTTAGTCTTTCTACCTATAGAATTACAGTGAATATTAGATATAGTCTATAAAATTTAATAGTAAGCGGCAGCATTCATATAAATGATTAAGTTACTACGAAACTGTCCCAATGGTATACACATTTTACGGATTTTTGTACAAGTTCCTAATATTTTATTGTACAGTAAGGAGAGGGTTATCCATCTCACCCATAATTTATCTAATATATAAATAGAATTGCTACAAAGAAATTCTTTGTTAGTACAAATTTCCTGGAGTGCACATATACACAGCTTAGGTGATATTCAACGTACTTGGAATAAGTCGAAATCTGATAGATGAGCAGCTAATCGTGTAAGTGATTGACGTCCTGATCCTCCAATACCAACAAGTAATGCATGGGATCTTGGTTGTTTTAATATACGTGCAATACGACATACATGTTCTATAGCAAAACGAAATAGAACTAAATTCATAGGTTTCTTGCTCAACTGATTATATTCTTCTAAGTAAGCTTCAGTTACTTTACGTAACTGTTCAACATCACGGACTTCAGCATAATTACGTTTTCCCTTAGGATCAGCAAAATCACAGAACATAAGTGATCGAAGATGATCTTCTGTAACCTAAATGAATTATATGGGAGATAGAGAAACACTATTCTAAGCAGTCTGTCATTAAAAAAAAGAAAAAAACACAGCGAAAAGTACATCATGAAAAGATTGATACTTTTAAAAAACTTCCTTGTTAACAAGTGATTCACATAATAATGTCACAAAAAATTTTGTAGTAAAAGCTGTTCAACGGGAGATATCCTAGGCTAAATATAACAGTGTTTAAATGGAATGCAACTACTTTAAACTAACACAAAACTTTTAAGTGTTCAGTAAATTAAATTGTGAAAAATATCTTCATTCGAATCACTAGTTTCACGTCTTTAAAAGAGTAAATTACTTATATTTTGTTCGCGTACATCATTAGATTATGACTTGATACAACAAGCTAATATATGAATTTGAAAATACAAAAGTTCTCTGGTTAGCGTCTTCTAGAGTGTACACAGTGTTTTCACTGTCACGAAAGGTGAATTACTGTGGTTCAAGATAACCTGTTTTTCAATAGATTCTGAACAAAATTCCTCTTAAAACTAACACCAGTTTTTCAGTTTTCTCTAAAGTTTTATCCTCTTTGTTACTTCTGGAATAATGCACTTATTTATTGGGTTTAAGATTGAATCAGACTAGTGGTAAACTGTTCATAATCAGTTATTTGTTATCCTGGCACTGAAAATTCTACTTTTTCATCTGAACATACAAGATGTGATGCCCAACCTTTAGTTAAAAAAGAAGAAAACTAGTACTGTTATGGTATCAAGACTTGAATAAATTTTGGCTCATTATATAACAACGTCTTTCATATTCATCAAACAAATTAGATAAATCAAATATTATTGACAAAGAGATTCTGTGGGGACTAACTTAATTTATCAGTGGTTTCTGGCACTCTTCAATCTCAATCGAGGTACAATTAAAAGCCAGAGATCACTGAGCACCCATTTTGTCTCCACATAGAAGCCCTCATTGGTGTGCATTTATGGATAGCTGGGATTCGGACCCAGTATTCTCAAGTCTTGCGGTATGCATTTAACTATTAGGTAAACGGTAAACATTTCATAATACTGGAATGAAGAATATCCATTAACACTGATGATAACTTTCACTCCAAACAAGTCTGAACTCTACCAGTAACGACCTAAAACTGGAAATTCTGGGACCTGTCTTGAAGTAAGTCGCTGGTGAACAAAGGATTATAGTACTGATTAAAATGTTACGTAGTGGTTGGTTTAAGTCCTAGATTCAACAATTGGAAAGTGTTTTGATGCATACTGTCGAGTTGTCTCATACGGAGATGTAACAGTTGTCCACCACTCTTAGGTTTTCAATGTGAACAACCAGTAACAAATACCGCCTACAAGTTAAATCAAATATTATTAAGACGCACTAAACTTCATCATTTATAACACATAATCAAACATTTTTACCTCAGTTTCATTTTCACCCGTTAAATGTTGAAATAATGTATTAAATTCTACTTCCAAATGCGTTTTAACAGATTGTCGTATAAAATTAAATAACCATTCACGATCAGCATCATCAACTAAACGATCATAATAAACACGAAATACTTCATGAACCCATAAACGTTTCATAGCGTCTAATGATTCTGTGGATTCAGGAACCGATAGTAAAATACCTTGTATAACACGACTAAAATCACGTAAATTAAATAGATAGTGAGATTTGGTGGGTGTTGGTAGCAGGTTTTGTAATGCAGCTTTATATACTTCAAGTGTAGCATCAACTATTTGTTCTGACAATTTCTTATAATCTGGACTAAATCCTCTGTAATGAAAAGTAGGGAGAAGTGTTATCATAGTATATCACACCTGACCATATCAATGATAAATATTAACTCGATAAAGTTTATATTTATAAGCATTATACAATCTCTTGAACATACTAATAGAACTGATTTACTGTGATACAGAAATATTAACTGTTTGATAATAGACTATCAAACTTAAATTCCCAATAAATCTTTATGATGTCCTCTATGATTAATTGTATTCTTTCGTGTGAAAACGGAAGCGAACTCTGTTTGTCAAGAAGCAAATTTAGTTGTCTTTTATTAGCAAGAGTAAGTAAATAAGTGCATCATATTGGTAAACACTTTTTACTTGAAGTCTTATTTTTCATAAGATTTAACACTAACTGATTATTTCATTCAGTTAGGTTTATAGTCTTCATAGATGTCCTTTTAAAAGATAAAGCATTATATCTGATACTGTAAAAAATCTGGGAGTTACAAAAAGAAATAACGCGGTGATAAACTCCAAATATTCAAACAGTCTCACTCTTTTGTTAAAACAAATATGTTTCAGATTCAATATTATGGTGACTTGCATAAGGTTTGTACTTACTTCTTCAAGCTTACTGATTTCAAATAACACCTTAAAACAAGTATAAAATTAAAATAGTCAACCGGTTGGTTTATCATTACAATATGCTAAACAAAGTATTAAAGGCCAATGTTCAGCAAATCCTGTCTCCTTAACCTCCTACATGATTCCAGTTAATTCATTATATATAAAATATACAGTGTATGAATGTGAAACGTTTACATTGAAAAAGTAGGTTAACCGACTTTATTGACAGTCAAAGTTCGACTGCTATGTACAACTATTTATTAATATCAATATTATTATTAGCTGATTATTCAATTGTTTAAATGACTACATAAGTTACAACTGTCAATAAATTTTTCCAATGAATTTGGGAAAAAAATGATTATTCGACTCAACTTGTTTAGTGTTGAATTGATGGAAAGATCAAATTTAAAAAATATCAGATTGCTCGAAATGAAACTAGTAATAAACCAACAAGACTGAAGAGAGCTTAACAAGTTACACAGCATATTTTAGTTGTATGGTAAGTCAGATACAAGTAGACAAGATTCAAAGATCAATTAGATTATCCACTTAGACCATAATTCATCATTTACACATGAATAATTTCGGTCATTTCGATAATATATTAAATACTTATCACCTAATAAGATTATTCATTCAATAAATTTAAGCTTCATACTTTGTTTTCTTTCCCGCTTTATCTATTTAGGTTGGCTAAAAAACATTAAAGAGCGGTATGCTAGTGATTGAGGTAGACTTTATAGATAATACAATCCTACCAATTTTTTTATTTCAATTACAATTTTATAAAAAAAATCACAGCAAAACAATTTTCATCTTAAGCAAAGATGGATAGTGGCAAGCAGTGGAATCCAGGACGCGGGTTTCGTCCTATTTGGGACTCCACTGCTAGCCACTATCCATCTTTGCTTACAATGCTTGTGAAATAAGGCTATATTGAGGCAATACGCACATTATGCACACATGCCAATTCGAGACTGACCAGTTGCAGTCCTAAACATCAATGGGAAGATTCAAACAAACAATACTAATTGAATTTAATTTTCATCTTAGATTACTCTTTGTTAATGTAAACAATGAAGATAGTCGGATTAGTATCAATATAAATTGAACGAATATAAATAATCTTGTATTCTATGTGTGTATAAACTTTCTTAAATATTATCATTGAGGCTTACTTTACAGTGATATGCCAGTCCATAATTCTTGTAAATATTGTTTTCATTGTATGGTCATCGAATTCATTAACAGTTACAATATTTAAATGACGTAAAAATCTTGGAGTAATAACATTTCGTCCACCTCCTGGTGGGCCCATAGAACCAATGAATAGTAGGTCAATCAATCGGATCGCTTCATTCGTTTTTAAATCATACCTTAATATAACAATTAAATTAAATAATTCATTATAAATGGTCTATATATTTGCGAAGATAATTCAAATTTGTAGATGATTCGAGTTACGGGTTGATATCAGTTAAAAGATCATTGTGAATTAGAGAGCCCTGAACAACTAGTTCGTCACGGTAGGTAACCCCTCAACAGTGTGCAATTATGAACTGAGGTCTTTATATCTCTTTCTTCTTCTTTTGAGTTTAACATTTGCGACCTATATTACCAAATTCAGTCTGTTTGTGATATAGAGAGACAATCATATAATGTAATTAGTGATACTAGTCTTTCTACTGACTTAGCTAAACGCTCAACATCATCATTTATCAGTTGAACTTTCAGAACCCATTACATAATTAGTCTTAAGTCAGCACATCGTCATTGTTTTGTCTGTTGGTTAGAGGGTTATGAGTTTATTTTGAAGACAAACGTTCGCATGGATTGACATCAGGTGGAGAAGCAGTGGAAACTAGAGACTGCTGTTCAGAAATTTTAGTGCTCAGTAGCAAGAGTTCAATCCCATAGGTAAGTCACACTGAACAGTACTATTGAGTAGATATTTTCGAATCCACAAATAAAGTAATTACATTCTGGTTACGATTAGAATGATATAAATTTACTGAATGATGAACTACATACCAATTCCAATGATCCAACCATTGACGTAATAATTCAATTGGAGGCTGTGCACCATATGTTTCTCTTACTGGCATATTCAAATCATCAACAAATACAATAATTTTTTTACCCATTGGTGGCCCAAATACACCTTTACGTCGACGATCTAGTTTCGACAAAATAATATTCTGTGTTTGGTTTGCACTAGTTTGTGCTGAAAAATTCAGAGTGTGCGGCTTATAGATGTCTTTTTCCACCTTATTCATAAGAAAATCCTATAATTGATGAAGATAAACAAAAAAGTGTGATTATAATTAATTTTTGTTAACAAATACCAAACTATGAGGTAATATTAGTCTAAAAAATATTCAGATAAACAGAGAGATATTTGGTAGTTATTTCTGTGTAATCTATAATTTCGTAACATTACAATTGATTAATGACTGAATAATTTAAAGCAATTAGTCCCTTTGATAAATTTCGATAATGCAATGAGAAGACGAAGTTTATCAGAATTATGTGATATATTCGAAATGTATTGCGCTAATATATCACATAATTCTGATAAACTTCGTCTTCTCATTGCATTATCGAGACTGAATAATTACCAATTTCATGTTTATCAAGTGTTTCTTAGTGGTAATTGAATTCTAGCGATCAAACTGCAATGTGGTCACTAGTCCAAGTTACTTGACATTGTGTAGATTATGTTGAGATATAAATTAGTGGTTGAAAATACTTGACAAAAAACCGTGGACCTAGATTTCGAAATCATTGGCACTCATTAACAACGTCGAAATCTAGGGAAACTGATGCTCCTTGACGGATTCAATTTCATAATACTCAGACTCACTATCATACATATTACTACTGAGCTATTCGGACTGCGAATGACTTCTCGTGTGGATCTAGTCCTCCAGCGAGCATCAGTTTCTTCAAAGTTGCAGATGTACCCTTCTGGTAAGTCCTAAAGAGTATGAAATCCATATCCAAGGTGTCCTGCTGATTAGCTCTAGCCATCACATTGCAATAAGAAAATTGCACCTTAAATGAAAACAAACCTTAGTATCAACCGAAATATTTTTCATGAAACAAACAGAAAAATGATATAATTTTGTAACAGAAGTTGAAAGTAAATGTCAATGAAAAATATGATTTGCTGAGAAAGCTTTCTGTCAACATGAGAGATTAAAACTCATGATCCTATGTAAGGCTTCATTATATAATCGTATTATATAGTCTATATGAAAACAAGAATAATTTAATTATATAGTTTATATTGATGAAACGTTCACTTGTATAGTCTAGGAATTAGCGGATGGCATAGATGACTAATTTGCTTTATATTTAAACATAATATTAGAACAGATTAAATGATAAACATTAAAATAAGTAGTAAATTTCTATGTAAAAATTCATAAATATATTTTTAAATTATGTCAGTATGGATACAATGTACAAGGTAAACTGTATTTTTATTTACTTTAGTTAGACTGTAAACTAATCTACAAATTAATTAATTAAATATGAAAAAGAGAATTCAGCGAAGAAAATTTTCTTTCCAACGAAATCATTTACTTAAGCTGTACATTCTTATAAATAGTTATATGGAATATATACATGTCTACAGGAAGCTAGGAAAGATTGAATTATAAATTGATTCGATAATAAATAATAAATGAGGTTACGTACTAATCCACCGTTACATATGCCGCACAAAGTGATCACTTTCTAAACACATCTCGGAACACTATCCGGCTTGGCTCTTAAAAGGAGAGTGTAAAAAGATAACAAGTTCGATACAGGAGCATTTAATTAACTGTGGACATATTGCTCCGAAAGACTCCTCTTTTAAAGTAATCTATAGAGTCAAAGAAACCGGATCAAAGGGGGGGGTCGAATCAATATTTTATGCACTGCTGAGGCATTGACAATCCACGAACTCAAGCCTGAATTTTGCGTGCAGAAACGATTTGTCCAACCTCTCACTCTTCTTTGCCCTAATTCCCTTAATGGGTATGTTTCTGGTTGTTGTTTTTTTCTGCACCTTTATTTGATTATTATCGATATTTTGCAGTTTTAACTCTAATCATTTATTATTATTACCTTATACAAGTTTTCATATTATTATTCAGCCTATTATTTTGACCTTTGTGTTTATCGCTTTTCTTCATATCTGTCAATTGGACTATTATCTAATCCATAAATTATTTTCTTCCTTACCCCTTGATTAGCACGTAACCTCATTTGTTATTTATTATCGAATCAATTTATAATGCAATCTTTCGTAGCTTCCTGTAGACATATATTTTCCATATAACTGTTTATAAGAAGGCACATCTTAAGTAAATGATTTCGTTGGAAAGAAAATTTTCTTCCCTGAATTCTCTTTTTCTTATTCAATGACACTATGAGTTATTTTACCAAATTAATTAACTTGTAAGTATCATTACCAAGTTTTAATTTGATAATTTTGAATAAATTGAGCATTGGGTAGATTGTTATAGGTAAAACTAATATATTTGTAATATCCCAATGAGTAGAAAAATTAGATTTTCTGATGTTTCGTGACACAGTGTAAGCCACTTCTTCAGAGAATAAATAACCAAATTAACATTAATCCAAGTTTAAATAGTACAACGAAACAACACGAAAAGTAGGTGCTATCAATCAAAAAACAGGTTTGAATAAATCAATGTCATGTCATTTCGGTCAACGTGATCCCATTCATGTCTACACAGAACTGCGTCTACAAATTAGGCTGTGTCGATTGTGATGCCTTCTATATTGGAAAGTCATCTCACAAAATCTTGACTCGTGCCAAAGAACATATTAGGTACACAAAGAAACCTCCTAATAATTCTGTAGAACTGGATATAATTCAAATTAAATCGGCAATAGCAGTTCACGCCATTTTCAACAATCATCAAATTGTATAAGAACTCTCGTCTAAATTAGATTTAATTAATTTGGATTAAATTGGAGTTCTACCAGGTCTGTTGTAGAGATATAATCTAACTGAAGACGATTGGTGAACGGTCGCTCAATATCGTGGATTGGTTGAAGTTAGACATTAACACTGTTGGATGCCAGCTCAGTGGTCTATCAGTTAAGGGCTTCGGCTCGAGACTGGTAGGTTCTGGGTTCGAATCTCGCTCGCGAGAGCGGGTTCGTGGATGCGCACTGCTGAGGAGTCCCATAATAGGACGAAACGGCCGTCCAGTGTTTCCAGGTTTTCGATGGTGGTCTAACTTCAATTGACTCATGATTTCAACTGTGTAAATTGGATTTAATTAAAAATTCATTCGCTGAGATTTTACAAATATATTATTCCTATTTAAATCATCAAATTGATTTCAAGAATATCAAAATACTACAAAAAGGCTTTTCCAACTACAAAGAAAGGAGAGTAACTGTACTTGGACTATCTATCCCAGTCACCTAGTCTGATATTATTTCCAATTCATACCATTGCAAATTAAACTCTATCCTTTCTCACCATAAAGGTCACACATTTTTCATCATTAACAATGCACACATATACACACACACAAATTTACAAACATGTCGCTTATGAATCACGTTGACCGAAATGACATGACATTGATTTATTCAAACCTGTCTTTTGATTAATAGCACCTACTTTTCGTGTTGTTTCGTTGTACTATTTAAACTTGGATTAATGTTAATTTGGTTATTTATTCTCTGAAGAAGTGGCTTACACTGTGTCACGAAACATCAGAAAATCTAATTTTTCTACTCATTGGGATATTACAAATATATTATTTATTTAAATAACTCGTAAGAAATAAAAACTAATTCTGTATGATCAGAAATCGGTTTTCTGGAACATTTGAACTTTCAGTGAAATAGATCTTGTAATTTGAAACTATAGCTAAAATGAGCCTATTCGGGAATCATTAGAAGGAATAACATCTAAGGTTATCCCTAGTCTTTTCAATATCTAATTACTGTGTTGTATCCAAAGCTTTTGTCAATTTATCCGTTTATTCAGTTAATGAGTACTATGTGTTAGAGGGTAATTTTAATTAGAGATTTCATTTTCATTCCTAACTTCACTCTACGCGTATTTTTCATCGGGTATGTCGGACTTTGTTATATAAGCAGATAATTGCTCATAACTCAAGACGATTGAAACAAAGTCTTGGACAAAAATTACACTCCAGTATGTAGCACTCATCTAATAAATAAAAAAGATTAAATGATGGAAGGTTCTAGATACAACGCACTTACTGAACATTGAAAATGTTGTAGATAACTTTAAAAATCAGGTAAAAATAATTTACAAACAATTCGACAAATAAAATTGACTTACCATTATATAACATGACTTGCCAGTACCAGTTGGACCAATAAATAATGATGGTTTACCATTTCGAATAAATAAATTTAGTAAATGATTACATCGAACAGTTTCTACTGTTGGTATGATTATTTCATTGAAAGTGGCATCTTTGGATATTGGTGGTGCTAAACGTACAGTTTCTGTCCACAACTCCCAGTTAATTGGGATCTTCATTTGAAAATATTAATGATAATATTTGAAGGGTAAGAACGGTTATCATTGTCTTTTAATTAATAAAATATGATTAAGTAAAAGCGATTTGGATGTTTTCTTAAATCTTGGAGTTAATTCTGATTGTGCACTAACTTTAGAATCGTTGAAAATAAAGGGGTAATGCGCTGATAGTTTGCACAAGTTTTGTATTTTCTTGCACTGATGACTAGCAATTTCACCAGGAGTGATCAGTGAAGGTGAATAAGAAACTTTGACAAATTAGATAAAAACTAGTTCGCTCTGTTCTATTTTTGAGGATAAGAAACATGGCTTTGAAAGCAGATACTGTTCGTAAATCAAACAATCATTTCTTCGAAGGATTTTCCACACTTACTGGAACTACCGCGTGAGTAATGCTGGGATTACATACAACGTAATAGTAAGAGATGGTAAATTGGTCTACATGGAAGTTAATTCTTATTACCCTAGGATATGTGTTAAATATGCCTCACCACCGCATATTTTGGTACACAATGCCGGTTGGTGTAGAATTAGATTAAAAGAAATCTAGGGATGAGTAAATAAAGAAGTGGTGCCAGTCTATAGATCTAGTGACTCTCGGTCCGAACTGTTTTGATAATTGTAGACAACTAGTTGTGATCCATTCGATAATTGTGACCAATAAATTGTGATGTTAGTTTAAAACAGATAAAAATTGATCAAAATGATGTAGATTCATTTATTTGTCTTCCCAAAGAGTTTTAGTTTCTCGACTACTTTATAATTTTTTGTCTTTGTTACTACACTCATACTTTTCAAGCCATATTCTTCATATCATGACATTTTATCACTAGAACTACTATTATCCCAACTTCTCTGGTATTTTTTTAAATTCTACCTCATATTGATGAAACTGATGTTATGACAAAGCCGATCCACAGTGTTTTCTAGATTCTACGTTGACTGTGGACTGACTGGTTGATAAAATGAAATTCCATGTAGAAACCGATGAAAGCTAAAAGACATTAAACAGTTGTTTTGTCCCCGTTCGCAAACATCATAGCAGTGTGAATCTATGACTTCAGTTAAAGATATGAATCGCTTGGTTACGATTCGATAGTCTAAATGTAATGTACTCACTGAAAACTAGGTTTAATTTTCTGTGGGTCACTGTTGGGTGTCACTTAAAAAAATCGAACTAAAATGAACCAGATTCTCAGTGCTCCTTGGTCAGATCATGTTAGACCCCAATAAGAACTATCTTAATCACTTCGTATGATCCAAATAAATAAAAGCCAAGTGCTTGATAGCTCTTAGATTTAATCGATATCATCGTTAGAATAAACATAGGCCAACCAGAGATTGGAGAATACCTTTCATTTACAATTAATTTAAAACTAAGTGAAACTAATTATGATTTGAAAACAGTATATTTTCGTTCTCATCCACCTTGGGAGGGATAGGATGGAAACGATGAAAGTACTATTTCAAGGCTGTAAACCAATAATATCCAAGTGTATATTCATCGAAATATACAAGAAAGGTGTTGAAATAAATTATTATTATCATTGAACATATATTTATTATTTGCTGTTTTATTTTTTTTAAGGAAAATACAGTCCAGTAGTTCATTTACACAACTTACTTCATCTTCCATTCCTTCTTTATTACTGGCCTATCAAAAATACAGAATTAAGACAGTTTGATAGACTTTATTTAACATTTCAACATCATTGTTAAAAATTTTGTTCTATTATAAAAATATAAATTATTCCATGAAATTTTAGTACAATGAATGTAGATAGTTGACATTCAACCAATTTATCAAAAGTATAACTTTCTACATTAGTGTACAGCTATTAAGTATAATTTAGATATTGTAGTATTTCCTGAATGCTTCTAGTAGCTGTTTATGATATCTTGACTAATCATTTTATATGTTTGTTTTTAAAATCATCGAAATGGAGTAAAAGAAAGAAATACAAGTTAGCTATTAAAGGACATTATATAGTCAAGTTCATATTGCCCCTAAATGTCCCGGTACGACCGAGAGTGGGGAGAAACAGATCTCCTTCTCAAAATGCTCTCAGATGGTCACGCTTATACAGCCACTTCCGGAAAAGTCCCATTCACTACCTTCTCGCGATGGGGTGTTTACAAAATTGAGAGGATGAAAAACGAATGTCCAGTGCTTTCACCGGATCGGTTGACACCGAGGGCTTATTTAGGGTAGTTGGAAAACCCTGGTTCCAAACCAATGGTACACATAGGCTCCAGGATCCTAAGGATACAAATGGCGTTTGAACCTGTTGTCGGTCACCGGCTACAATGGCAATGCATCTCGTAACGTTGCTCCACTGTTTTGTGGATTAGACCACTAGGTTAAAAGCTCCGGGTGTGGCTCCCTAAGGAAACCACCCGCTTCGGTTTGAGTACCCGTGCACTATTCCAGCTCTCACACAAAGCATTTGATTTGTGTGGCGTGTATATATTTGGTGCTTCTTTTTACCAATGTTTGTGTGTTTAAAATAATAACAACAAATTTATCAACCAATTAGGTAAAGGATTAACAAGTGAAAACTCAGAGTTCAGATCATGAGAGAAGAAAATCGAAACAAATATACAAACGATCACCTTAGAGTTATGGATAAGAGCCTACTAAACTGCATTTAAACATAACAAGCTGTCAGTGATTTGTAGAGAAATGGGGATAGTTCACTTCTCTTTGAGGAACTTGGTGATGATGTTCTTTAGAAGAACATGGAAAAAGCTTGATAATCAAATCACATAGCTCGGAGACCACAAATGATTCAACATTCTCATCCTAAGTTACAAATATTTCCTATCATCTCAGAACAAAAGTCAAGGTCAGTTTGCACATTAATTTTGATTTTAGTCTTCCTTTTGTACAATTAGACAATAATAAATCGATTGAACATCATTTAACAAAAATAATGATTCCCATACTAAACTCATCTTTAAATATAATAGTTGAATTCATGAGTGGATCAAAGCCAGACCACCATGAGTAACCTGGAAGCACTGAACGGCCGTTTCGTCCTAGTATATGCCGTCCCGTGTTTCCGGGCTATTCACGGTGGTCTACCTTTAATCGACTCATGAATTCAACTATTAAATTACTACAGTCTCCACAAAACCCCCTTTCCGATAATCATTTTTAAATAGTTTTGTCAATTAGATATACTAACAAATGTTTTATGGATTATTGTATTTTTGTAAGCAGAATTATCTTCTCACCCTAAATCATTGTTGTCTTTCATTCATTCATGAGTATATATATATGAATCAGTGAAATATTTTTACCTCTAGTTTGGTTAGATAATTGAATCTTTTATTCACTTGCCAGATTATATTTCATAAATCATGCTCAAATTGATAAGGGTCAATTAGTCTTTATTAACTAGCAAATTAGTAATACTTTTGATTGATCAGATACCAACAGAAAGTTTAATTTATCTTCCTGAATGATGTGTACCAACGATACAGTAATATTCTAATGATAGAATGTAGTAAAATTCTTAACTTCTTTAAGAATATCATAAATATCAGTCATTTTACAGAAAATAACTAGTGAATACCAAAAGGTCTATGTTGCGATATTACTCCAGTATATAGTTCGAATTCACTAGTCATTGGTTGCCAGTTGCAGTCTGTTGATTAGTCTCATCCAATGAAATCTAGTTAATGTTAGTTTTACATAAGAATTTCCTTCAAAACGTTCACAAAACCGTTATACATAGTAATATAAATGAAAAAAATATCAGGAATCGATACTTTGTCTGGAGATTCATTTGTTCAAATAAAATACGCAAATGACATAATTATATTTAGTGAAAACAGTAATAGAATTAACAGTGGTTTTAATAACCTTCAACAATGATTAAGACACGTTTCGCTCTTTTTAAACGGAACATTTTGACGCATATTTTTTTGTATGATCGTTTAGACTGATTAGTTAAGCGTGTTGATCCGTTCACTTATCTTCAAAAGTTTTATCATTTCTGGCGGGTTAGTGTCAGACGGAATCTCAGAATGAATTCATAAGGCCCAATTGGCTTTTGCCAACTTGTATTATCTGTGACGCAGACACGTTTTTCGTCTACCAACCAAGCTGTTTACAAAGATAATGATCTAATAGGAAAAGATCGAAAAATATCGTTTTGGAAAAATTAACAATAAACGAATCGTTATCATTCCAATTATTGAATAAAGCTAACCTTCATTACTAATTTATAATCATAAACTGTTTTCTTAATCGGAAATGGACATTTATAATCTTCCATTGGCGGTGGAACTAATTCAATTAGTGCCAGTCGTTGTCTTGTCTCTTCCATCATACCACCATTCATTAATTCACGTATTAATTTATCAAATTTCTGTCTACCATCTTTATCTGTAGTTGCACCGATTGACCAAACGTAAGCAAAAAAGAATATACACTGGAAGACAAAGCATAGAATAAGTAAATCTACTATGTAATAATAACAGTCATACAAGACAGTACCTCTTGAACGTTCCAGAAACGTAGCATACGGAATTTTATTATTAATGCTTAGTTGTGAATCAGTCAGAGTAGGGGTTTTCTTGGAGGCCATATTTCATTTTATTACATCATTATTATCTAATACAACTTTTCACTGTCTATTGTATCTGTTCATTATTTTAACGAATTATGTTGTCATTTTTTTTTATTTATCAGTAGTATATCTTAATAGTTCACTACTCAAGAGGAGTGTGAATTAGGCTCAATAGTCTGAAGGTTTATCCGATAACAGGATTAATTAAAAATCTCATATCATTTGTCAAAGTAATCTTCTAATATATATCATCTAGACAATGTTGTCTGTTAATAAAGAATCCTTATGAATTACAAGTATAATTTGTACAAAGAGGTGTGCCAATAGAGATGAATCCCAAATCACTTTATACTTCAGAATTTTATTCCATAAAATAAGTGTTGTGACTTTATAAAAAAGAAGCTGTCTCCAATTTGTTGTGTTTTCATGCCCGGCTTTTCATCACGTGAATTATCCACCAATCGAAATACGAATTTTCCAATCTTAACACTATGCCAACTCAATGACGTTCGACCAGTATGAGTAGTCTAGCGTCCTTATTGGTTCCTCGTCCGCCTAGCCCTTCCAATGGAATCCAAAACACCAAATGCAGCTTCTGCTATGCGGTTTATATACCAGACAGACAGACTGCATCACACCATAAAATAGAAAATAATATTTGTACAAGATCAAGCCAAATTTGGTTGTGAACGTGGGAGACAATAATCAATAAACTGAATATAATTTATGGACAGTAAATCGTATAATAATAATTCATAGGTCAAAATGAAGCTTATAATAAGATGAATATAAATATACACAATCTAATTACTCAATAGTTAAACATCAAGAATATATATAGAACAATAGTCCATTAATAGATCCTGGAAGTTACCCGTACTTATATCTTCGCTAGGATATGACACACTCAGTTTATTTGGAAGCCAGTCATATTACCAGAAGTAAAAAATGACCTAATATGCTAAGTGCTGGTTTTATGAGATTGAATTATTCTACTCCATCTCCCCCACATTGAAGTAGATGAAGGGATATTCTTATAAATAAATTAATTCATTCTCCAGGTAGTTGGATATAAGCCACATTCTAGTTGGGAGGAGTAATGATAATACTCGGTTGCCCTAATAGAAGTAGCTGGATCTGGTCTCGAACTTGTGACCTAATGGTTGTAAGTCGGATGACTTGACCACTAACCTATGTCTCGGTTTTTATCACAAAAGTATATATCCTGTTGCTAAATGTTGTTTTAAGTATATATTTATCTTAATCCTAAAATAGTTGACGTATACCTTCTGTTATTTTGATTTTCTAACTTACAAACCAACTACAGGTTCATTTATTTAACTAACTATGAAGTATGTATCTCATGTGGGATGTGGCAGTGATACTATCTGACTTCTGAAACCGATGTAGATGGTCCGATATTTGGAAGTCTATTTCATATTTTAACTCATTTACTATGTATAAATCCGTGTAATTGTCTACGAACCATATTATAATTGCGAAGCCAGTGATACTACCCGGTTGCCTAAATCAAAATGGATAAAACACAGTTCAAAACTTGAAATTAAAAATAATAATAATAATGGTAAAAATAATAATTTCACAATATGTATAACACATAAACACATTGAGCTTACTTCAACGATCGCACTTGAATTATGATCATTAAATTGTGTAAAATTATTATCAGCTTTAAATTCTGCTATTTGACAATCAATTAAATTCATTAATGATTTCACTAAATTTATATCACTAGTTGGTGATAATTCCTTCATTGATTGATTAATTAATTAATTTAGGGGGTATGTTGTTTTGGTGAAGTAAGTTAGAGAAAAAGCAAGAAAACAAATCATGATGTAAATAATGATGAAGATCAGTAAATTGTAGAGTCAAATAGAAAGGAACGTCTTGTTATTTGAATAATAGATCAGAGGGGGTTTTGTGGAGAATTTAGTATTTTCACAGTTGAAATCATGAGTCAATTGAAGCTAGACCACCATCGAAAACCTGGACGGCCGTTTCGTCCTATAATGGGACTCCTCAGCAGTGCGCATCCACGAACCCGCACCCGCGAGATTTGAATAATAGGAAAAGCCAACATACAAAACTGTTGGGAAAAGCCGGGTATTATGATTCAGTTTTTATAGGTTGCACTCAATTAAAACTCACAGAGTTGATAAGGTTAGTATTCAGTTGATTGTTGTCCAGAAAAGTCTTCGCTGTTCACAGAGACTATCATAAAGACTCAGGGACTATTTAGTTTTTCTAGATAACCTTAGTAAGGATAAATTTTAGGGAATTATAAATTTATTCACTTATATCCGATTCAAATCACCGAGGAACATTGGTTTTTATAAAGTTATAAACACATTTTGTTGAAACATGTGCCCGCGAACATTCCACATATCTCATGTAAGTTTTCAACAGAATTGTAGATGGATTACTGAAGCGATGATTAAATAAGGCTACAAGACGTATATATCGTATAATGAAGGTTTTACTTGTCGACTATATTGCATGAAACCATCAGAGTGTACAAAAAGTAGAATAGTAACCTTCTCACATATCCTCCTACTGACTACAAAGTTGAATCCTACAGAGACCAAAATTAATACCTTAACTAAAAGCACAATGTTGTTGTTCATGTTCAATAGTGTACAGCCTTTTCAATACATCCAATAAATTATTTATATATAGAAAAGTATAACAGTTAACTTGAATTTACTGCTCACTAATGTTTCCAACGTTTTTCTCCACTCAGTTAATTATGAACACATCTTAGTTGGTTATCATTGTCTCAACCTAGTTTCTGTTTACATTATCATTATTCGCTAAAAATCCACTCGAAACTCATAGCCGACGCCTAGAGATTTGTTTGATTAAATCCTGAAAGTGACTGTGTAATCAAGATCTGAAGCAAAACTGATAGGCTTATCTATATCTCCTAGTTAATCACTCGTACTATGACTTAAAATCAGGTTGGAGTGAAAGTTATTCACATAACATCGGTAACCACTGAAATCTATTCGTATGTATGTCAGTGAAGGTCACTAATGTCTCAACTACACGACGGAAATAAATTTGGTGTTTAATTTGTACCTCACCAAATTTATTGTTTATAATTAAAACTTAATGTTACAATAAACTGTTGAACCGGTTTAGTATATTTTACTTCCATTAGTAGAATAAGCACAAAATGTGCGTAAAACCTAACTATTTCTCATAAACAACGACAAATGAGGGAAAATAAAAGTTTATTATTGTTCACAACACGGAATGACCTTGGTTGACCAACCACTGAGAACCAGGAAGGAAAAGTCGGCTAATTCGTTTAAATATGGAACTCTTCAGGAGCGTGCATCCATAGTTTCACCTTAGGTCAAACCCAGGACCTTTATATCTTGAGGGGAGTGTTTAAACTTTAAATCTATGAGTTGACAACTAATAGTTTATATTTCATGATATTAGTCGATCATCATTCGATGCTGTAGACTAGTAAGTATCATACTATCTACATGGTCTCATTCTACTGGTTAAGGTTTCTCATTTGAACGCAAGTGGATTCGTAGATGCGCACTACTGAGGAGTCACATCTCAGGGCGAAACAGTTATCTAGTAATTCTTGGTTCTCAATGGCTGGCTAACTATGGTCAGTCTGTGATGCACACTACGAAACTCAACAATCTTCACAAAGCACCTATACCAATGAATAAAGATGTAACTAAAGAAGAAGTTACCAATGAAAATCAGTAGTTCTATATCATTAGTCACTGATGTCGATTTTGGATACTGAGAAACAAGTGGGGTAAAAATTATGCTATAACCCAAGTTTATCAAAGTTGAGGTGTTCAAGCTAATAAGCTCGAACCTACTACGTCAAATGTACCGTATTCGTTATAAGATATAAAGGACCTGGTTAAAACCATGTATCTATAGATTCACTGGATGCAGTTCTTATCAAACCGTAGAAAACTTGAATAAAGCACATGTCGAATACTTCTTCAGTGGATATTAACTCCTAATAAAAAGTCTTCTCAAGGCGATCAATGATAATAAGTAACTGGACTACGTATGTACTATGATAATCTTATGAAGACTGATTTTTGAGATAAAATTTTAATAGGAAAATTTCCTCTTACTTTAACACCACCTTTTCGAATTAATGCAATACCAGCATCGACAAATCTATCAAACATATCAATCCAAATATCTTTATGTAACTGTTTAATAAAATTAGGTAATTTATTCATCCAACTACGTAGTAATGGTCGCCAACCTAAACTTGCCGGTTCCAAATAAATCATACCACAACGAGATACAGTTGCCGGTGAAGCAGCTTCTAAATCCATTGGTTCAAATATCAAATTAGTTGTTGGAGCTAACTGAATAATTTCACCTGACATTAAACATAACTTTTTATTATCATCTAACACAGTATTCATATTCTCTATCCATACAGCATCAACTGGTCCATCAAATATTAACCATTTACGATCTGGTGTTGTTGATGTGGCAAATGTTCTATATGAAACAGCTAATATACCGTCTGACCATTCATGTGATACAGGATCGAACTGACCATATAACTGTCCCATTGTTATAGCTTTTGGATTGATTACAGTGTATTGCACTTTATTTTCTTCCATAAGACCCTGTGTTTATGAATACAAACAGAACATATAAACAAGCAATAAACTGAGTAGTAATAATATTAGTAGTAGTGTGCTTTAATAAGCATAATATTATTCTTAACATTATTTGAATTAACTTTATGCTCTATTCTGTAATACAATAAAGCTCATTAGTTTAGTTATTTTCCAGTTTTCAGTGATAGTTCAAGGGTTTTAAAACTATGAATAACCTTATCCTTTAGATTGATTTATCTTATTTATTGACAATCTCGAAAATAACATCATAAGTGAACTGTATGAGGAATGTCATGATATAGCCATTTATCAATAGAGAGAGTTTTGTTAAGTGTGTCTGTTTATTCATTATTCCATGGATTGAACCATCTAAGTCACGTATTACGCTCACCCAACCAGTACCTATCTCGTCACTCGAAGTTGGTTGGAATGAAACCAGAGGAGTTTAAACCGAAATGAAGTATCAGTTTATAAAGTCACTGAATGTTTGAATGAGCCGCGTAGGGAGATCCAAACTTCCTTGTTAGGATCCATTTGATTATCCTAACCAGTGTTCAGAGATATTATATGACAGGACTCAGAATCATTCATAATGATGGAAATGTGATCACTTTTTGTCTTCCTTAGACATTGAGTTCTAAATCATTTAATAGCTTATCACTACTTATATTATCTCTGAATACTAGTTTCCACTACCTTTGATACGATTACTAATTTTACTACTCTAATATTTGTCTTGTTGATTTCATTTTGCTGTGCTTATGTGGTATGACAGCTTGAACCGACGCACATATGTGAGTACATGTCGCCCATGACTGATTGGTCATATGTAATGAAAAATTTGAGTTTATGATTATAAGCCCTTTATATATAAGTCCATTTTAGCGATAAATTGAAAATTAGTTAACAAATAAGGCTTTACAAAATTGATTAGATGATTATTGAAGAAATGTCAATCTTATTGGTTGACTATTTTGTGATAATTAGAAAATCCTGATATAATGATAATTGTGGATGAGCACTGCTGAGGAGTCCCATACGAGGATGAAAAGGCTATCCAATGCTATCAGGTTTTCAGTTGTAGTCTAGCTTCAATTAACTTATGAATTGAACTATTAAAATTATTGCAATCTCCCAAAATTCCCATTCTGATGATGATCATGATCAACATTTTTTTTCTGATTTCGATATTATTAGGATGGTTTATGTTGTGGATAAGCAGAGGTGGAAACTAAGGATATTTGAACATACTACCTAATCAAATCATGTATCAATATATATAATTCTGGTTCACAGCCTCATACGTGTAGGCATATACTGACTTTTAAACAGATGATGTTTTTAGTTTGTAGATAATTGTCATGTGTTAAAGCATAACATTCTTGGCTTTTCACACTTCCATTTATATCATTGTCTGGTAGAGAGATTGTTGTTTTGGGATTGCAGTGGTATGTCAGTGGATAATCTTCATCACAATTTCTACTTCTTTAGTTTTGGGTATCAACTTTTTGAATATGTTGATGAAGCGTTAAATTTAGTAGTTGAATATGAAGGTGGTAAGACGATATGAGATTATGACTGATGATATTTCTTACGTGAAAATTGATAGACATTTTAAATGAATATCTTTGTTAGATAAAATAATTATAGATAGTTACAAAATAATACTACAAATAAGATGACCAGTAACCTTGATGCATTAAGGGAAAATATGTAGCAGATTTATTATAATTATTATTATTTCATATAGACATCCATTGGTCGTGGACAAAATTAGATTTGTTTTGACGAAGACTGTTAGTAGTATGTTAAGTTTAATTAAATAGTTAATTTTAGTTAAGATAATCTTATCTTAATAATCCAGTCCCTAATAAGTACTCTGCTTGGTTTAAACGCCCTGTGCACAGTTCCTGAATAAATCAGTATTGACTCATAGTAAAGGAACCTCCATGGTGGTCTACCTTCAATTGATTCATGATCTCAACTATAAAATTACTAAAATCTCCACAAACCTTCCTTCTGGAAATGAAATACATTATGATATAAGCTACAATTTTTACTTATCATTAACTCAAATAACTAAAATGAACCTTAAATCAGTTTAAGGGAAAAATTGTCAAACATTTCAATAGAAATTAAGCAATACTTGAATATGTTATTATATAAATCTAATTTACTTTTTCACATATTTCACCTAAAGCATCTGCTAATACACGATATGAACTAGTTTTACCACCGAATGGTTCACCAACAATCATAAAACCATGTCGTACAATCATCATTTCATAAACTTGTTGTATTTTCTCTATGAAAAATTTAGTATATTGTAAATTCATACGATCACAAACATTTTTTATAGCATTATTTAATATTTCATAATCTGGTGTTGGACGTTCAATACCAGGAAATAGATCTGATGCTATTCCACTAAATAATGGTAAATCATCATTAAGAAATTTCGGTAAATTCACATCAATAATAGAACGTAACATTAAAACATCTTCATCTTCATTTGGATATTTTAACTAAAATTTTTAAAAGGAGTAGAAATAATGAAGAAAGTATAGTTTCAGTGATTAAATGAACTAAAGCGTATTGTGCAGCAAAGGTCATTATCAAAAAAAGAACAAGGTTCATGCTTCATCCAAAACCTAAAAGATATGAAAACGATTGTCACATCCCACTGTGTTTACCAATTTAAGCGTGTGTTTAGTCACACATACATAGGGAGGAGCAATCGTGATCTCAAAATTAGGGTGTGTGAACATGTACCAAAATGGTTGCAGAAACAAATATAATCAAATGACCCTATAAGAGTAGAGGACAAGCGTCCATCATCCTCTATTGCGAAGCACATAATCGAAACAGGCCATAGGATTGATCTTAACTCGGATTTTGTGGTGTTGTATTAAAGTGTAAAAGAGCGTATACTAAGGTTTGATGGTGGTTGGAGGTGGTCAACAGGAAACCCTGGTCGCGGCCCGAATAGCTCAGTGGTAACGTCTCTGACTGTGAAGTTGAGTGACACGGGATCGAATCCGCCAGGGAGCATCAGTTCCCTCAAGATTACAGATACACCTTGCTGACGAGTGCCAAATAGCACGAAACCCGGGTTCAGGGTTTCCTGTTGACCACCTCCAACCACCATCAAACCTCTATATATATATATATAGTGCAAGCAGTGTCAAGCCACCTAGACGGGTGGCCACATTGCAACTTGATCGATAGCATTCGATCAGCACTAAAGAAGGACTTGACACGCATGACATTGATCACCACCCAGTGATCAATCAATTGTGTACACTAAGGTTTATTGAAGCCTTAGCTATACGAAAATTCAAACCCCCTTTGTGTATTCAAAAACAGTTTGTTCTCACCTTAAACCTACCCTGGTAATATTAGCTTATTAGCCAGAGTGATTAGGTTTCAAATTGTTTTCACATTATTATTATTATTATTGTTACCCCTCATTTCCAGTCTAGTTGACCTTTTATTTTTATACATAAATGTTCTTAACAAGTATATGTGTGATCAGATTGTTCGAAATGTATTGCGCTAATATATATCACATTGTTCTGATAATCTTCGTCTTCTTATTATACTATCGTAATAAACTGTAAGTAAATTGTAAACTAGTGTACAGTTATTAAAAAAAATTCTAGGACTTTGACGATATCTATAAAACATTCAGCAAAAATTCGGAGGAAGATATTTTTGATTAACTGATAAACACTCATTAAACTTTATACAATGTCCCATTATTTTGATTTACATGAAATTTAATTGACATTAGTTGTGTATCACAGATACCAATCTTTGTCACTTTGTGTTTATTTGTAACTTCTTATTATTACCATTATATTGTGATCCATCTACTAAAGAGTAATCAGACATTGATTAGTTCATTATAAATATGATCGTGATAATTTACGTTCTTATACTTACTTTAAGATTACCAGCGGCTGTAAGGACAGATTTCACAGCTCTCATACCATAATCATAATGAGATTGACTAGATAATTGTTCTGAACATAAACGATAAGTAGCAACAATTTTTATAGCAAGTGGACGAGCATTAACAAAACCACATGAATATAATGAAATCTCTGCAATCATTGCATAATCTGGTACCATCATAGCTACTGAACGAAATAAAGCCTTGAAAAGACAAGAAAATAGCAGGAAGTTGATAATTGTTAAAATTTAAAACATTATGTCAGTGAATTATGATGGGTTTAAGTTAATGTTCATCAGTGTGAACGAATTAGTATCCATTGAAGTTCGTTATAAATACTATAAATACTAAACCAATCTCTAAACTGATGTTATTATTAAAAAGAACATTTAAAACTCGGAAGGAACCGGTTGCTTCTAAAGAATTTAAAATCAAACTTTTCAAATCTGCAATAGTCTGTGATGTTATAGAGCTATTCAGAAAGTGAATAATCATTTGTAGTGATTGATCGAGTACATTGATAATTTGTAGTGTATAGTAACTAATGTTTATATTGATGATTTTCTTCAACTATCCTAAATCAAATACATGACATAGAGACTTCAACTCACTCTGTACAATAAAGAATGGAATTCTCTTATATCTTCTACATTTATGTTGATTTCAAGAAGTAAATAAACGTTAATCAAATCAGTTTTGTATCAGGATTGACCATGGGGATCGTCTTCTTAGGTGAATGCACTAGCAGACTGGTGTCTTTTACCAATTTAAGCAAGAAGTTTTGTATGTAGGAAATGAACTTCCGTAAAAACCGGATCAAAAATATTTCTTCAAGGTTGGTGCTCTAAAAGCGAGCACAATCTAGGAGCATTTAATTTAACTTATTTTCAAGTCATCACTCATTTATGAGAAAAACACTCAATAAGCAGTGGTGAATTTAGGGATAGAGAGTAAGATTAAGGAAAGCAATCAATTGATTAGGTCTTAGGCTTGTATTAAGCTATGCGTTGTGGGTATTTATCTACTGCTTGTTTACATATAATATTCATGGTAGAATAAGAGTTAAACATAAAATGTCCATGTGTTATTAGGTCATAATGAAATACAACAATTTAAAGTTTGTATTTGTTAGTCACCATAGATTTTTATTTATTGAATACGCCTGGCATTGAAAGTTAATGTTTAAAGACTTAATGAAATGCAAATTAAAATGTTACATCCTGGGTCAAAAAAATTATTTAGGGTATAAGGAAAAATTTAGCGGGCAAGATTCTGTTTCATTATTCTCATGTAAATATTCAATTGAGCATAAATAAATAGGAAAACACAATTTTAATCAATTAATGGGAGTCAATTAAACATTTTTAGCACCTTGAATGTATTCCTCATGATCTACTAAATTAATAATTTTGCAAGAAATATGAATAAGTTAAATGTTAGTATAGAATTGGTTAGTATTTTATGAACCAACATCATTAGTACAATCATCTCATGTGTATATTTGATCTTTTTAATTACAAATACTTTGTAATTAACTTTACCATTAAATACATTCCTCGAATAAAGAATGCCTTTGTGAAAATAAGTTACAATTATGAGTCAATTGAAGCTAGACTACCATGGAAAACCTGGAAGCACTGGACGACCGTTTCGTCAAATTGTGGGACTCTTCAGCAGTGTCTATCCACGATCCCGCCCCATAAGGTTCAAACCCAGGACCTATCTTGGAGGATCACTACTGAGGAGTCCCACAATAGGACGAGACGGCCATCCAATGTTTCCAGGTTTTCCATGGTTGTCTGGCTTAGATTGACTCATGATTTCAACTATAAAATTACTGAAATCTCCACAAAAGCCCTTTCTGATAAAAGTTACAGTTAGTCAGAAATTTCTGTAAGCTTCCCTAATCTGAACAGGATTTACAAAATTTGTTGATTATTTTTCAATTTGGATTCTATTAGTCACTATAAATTAATGTATTATTTAAATTACAATAAGACTAACTTTTAAATTATCCGGAAGTTCTGAACGTCCAGCATAACCTGGATTCATTGTAATGAATACAGCACATGTTTGATCTAATTTAATTTCAGTTCCTTCAAATATTAAACTTGTTTGATTGGCAAGAATTGCACGTTGAATAGTTAAAATTTGTTGAGCTACTACAGAAAGTACTTCTAAATCAATACGATTAAATTCATCAAAACATGACCATGCACCGCATGATGCAAGTCCCTGTATAAATAGCATTAAATGAGAATAAAATAAATGACGTAGATATTAGCACATATTGACTATCTATTTAAATATATTTGAGAATATTATTAGTAAATTAAAGTTCATTACAGTTTAAATATCTACTGACGAATTTACAGACACCCAATAGATGATATCTAAGTGATTGAACGTAATTGTTGAGAAGCATTGAACCTAAATTTCATGATAGATTATTTTCACCAACAAGACACCTAGTTAGTTACCAGGAAACTAATGTGTCTACAATAATTAGGCCTATGTTACTTAGGTCCTGAGACAGAAACATTATTACCAAACTATCTAGACTGAGATTGATCTTCATGGTTTTGAGATACTTCAGATTTTTATCGATCTTTTTTTCATAAGCAATTTTTTGTTGTATAATCCTCAGTGTTGACCAATCTTACTGTATCAAGTTACACTTAAATATAACTGTTAGGACTAACAGAATGAAAGTATTAGTGAACAGTTTTAAATCATTATTTTCATCTTTTATTAACTGCCTGTTATCCGATAAATAACTCATCCACATTATCTTGATTAAATTACATTATATGTAAGTATGGGCTTCCAATTTTTAACAACGTATTCAATTATTTAAAAAAGTATACTGTCTTCTGTAATTAGTTCATTTGAGATTTATGTCTTAGTCCTATGAATGAATTATCATTTCTGGCATCTTAATCTTACCAATACTTTATTATTCAGATGTCCGGTCACATTTATCACGTGTATATTCAATCGTTTGGAAAGATTCCGGCAATGAAAATGATACCAAAATATTCCATTATCTCTCTAAACATGTACAATTATCACTTTTGGAATGGTTTTTGTATGTAATAACCTTTTTCTAATATCTATGTAGCTCACATTGAAATAAAAGCTTAAGCTAGTAGGGGATTACTCAATAAAAAAAGACATGACAACTTATACGAGAGGTGTTATGATTTTCATATCTTTAAATGAGTTGAAGTATGGATATATATGAGGAAATTCTACTAACATAAAAAAAGATCTGATGGAGTGAATAGACAGAACGGTTTATGGGTAACAACACTTTACAAATGATAATTGCACGGAAACAGGAAGAGAGAAGATGGAACTTTTAGTTAGTCAGTCAGCTACAACAGAGGACCGGAATAAAGAAATGAAGTTTAAGTGAGACAATCTCGGCAAAAGGCGGCACTTTTATTCGCTCTCAGTCCAGACGTTTACAACGATGGGTAGAACACTTTAAGGTGCAGTTCAGCTGGCATTCAGCTACTCTACAGTTACCCACTATTTCCAAATAGCCTGAATGGAACCTTGAGATAGGCCCCCCCGACTCTGACTGAAGTTCGAAAAGTAATAGCTAATCTGAATTGGAGAAGGGCAGCTAGTCCAAATGGATTAACTCCAGTTGTCCATAAGGATGGCGGTCCAGTTTTAACGATTAGGTTGACCAATATTTTAACTAAAACCGTGGAACTGAATGTAATCCCATCTGACTCGCCTCAATGATTGATCGTCTTAATATATAAGAAAGGATCAATATCACCCTGTAATAATCACAGAGAGATTAGTTTAACTAGATAACATTAATGATTCAAAAAAAGTTAGCTAAATGGTTAGAGAAAAACATTGTATATATATTATTTTACGGGACAAAGTAACTAATAAAAATAAATATGAACTAATTACATGACGTTCTTACCATTGTTAGCGACACAATAATATTAAACAGTGAAAAGATTACAATAATGATTTCCTCTCTCTCTACTTCAATAAGTTCTAATAATGTTGATTTAGATTAGAACCAATAATAATATGCTACTTTGATATGTTTGTTTGTTTACTTCACGATGTGACACAACCTATTTTTAGGATCCAGCATACTCTTCATAATAATTAAAATCTGGGAAAACGTCATGATTTTTATGGTTTACGAAAACGGTAATCTTTATATCAGAATAGTGTATCAAAGTATTTTATCTACCAATAAAAATTAAGTTACTGTAAAATAATTATTTCATACAGTAATAATACTCAAATCATACCTTGAAAAATTTACCCAAAGCAATATAATCCAGTCCATCGGAACAATTGAATACAACACATTGTTTAGCTACTGCTTTTGCAAGATCTTTAGTTGTCTCTGTTTTACCTGTACCAGCTGGACCCTCGGGAGCACCACCCAAATGTAAATGTAATGCACCAAATAATGTTCGATAACACCTATCAGTCAATGGTGTGATAACTAATCGCCCAGTATTACCCAAATATTCATAACCATAGCTTCAAAAAGAAATGTGTTATAACAAACAGTAAGCGTAAGATCTCAACACATCGATGAAAATTTAAAAAAAAAGTGATTTCCGATCTTTAAATGATGTGTAATATGAGGAATCCTATGAGTGAATGATAATCGTCCATGAAACAACTCTCCAGCACTTCATATTTGTCATTACTCTCCTAGTCATTCATGTATGGTAGAAATTCTCTCGGACTATTAATTATGAAATGAATGAGTTTAGAAGAAAGTGATTACGTACACTATATACCAATAAATTTCCTACCCGAATAAATACTTGCGATAACATAAAGCTATTCTATAACGTTATACTAATTAAAATAAGTAGTTAAAATTTTATAATTTATAAAACTAGATTTCGTATATATATAAACAATAAAAGCGCTTACTTTAAATGTGAGTTAATCATACGCGTCACTAGCTTTTGTTCAATCCAATAATAACGTAGTTGACTAAGCCATGAAAAGTCTGTATTGGATTGACATTTAAGTGATATAAGTTCAGCCAGAACATCACGTGCATGAACATCTAACACAATTAATGCTTGTAATGTTATGCGATTTTGTTTAGATAGTTGTCCTCTAACCATAGCAACAATTTCATCTATTTGCTGGTTGTTCACCTACAAACATTTATATTTTGAAAGAGTATGAAACATTAAGGACTGTTACAAAGATGTACGCCAAGAACTGGATGTAACCTTTTTTACAAAATGTCATGGACTACAAACGAAAGGATATTCATATATTCAAATTCCTGATTACTATCTCGTTTGTCAAGTCATATAGTTTGACAATTGAACTAAGAATTCAAGCATCAAGATTCACCTTATGGAGATGAGGTACATAAAAAAATCTGACTTCTCGCCTGGATTATTCAAGTGATAGGTGATGTAATTTTCAACATTTACAATATGCTTTGTGTTCCATGACAATGTATTCTTTTATTGCAACAGAATGTGGCGTCTGAATAAAGGAACTGTGAAGTTATAACTAGAGAAATAATATTTTTTGAGAAACTATTAAACTTTGAAAGTGAGAATAAATAGACGACAGTTATTGCAAACTTTTCCACCACAAAATAGAAATATAATAAACATAATCAAGCTCACGAGTAACTAATAACAGTTTTAATTATGAGCCGATATCGATCGCAGAACTTCTTGAGGTCAAATAAAACTGAAAATCTCTGTCTTTCTAGTAGGGAAATGACAAATATAGAAATGAAATACAGAGTCACTGATCATTTGGAAGTCACTAGTATAGATGAGCATCCATTGAGCGGATCTTAAAAATTTGTGTAACTATTAACGTCAGCCAGTCATCTACAACGTAGGACCAGCACATATGTGGATAGGTCCAAGTTGCCATACCTCATTAGCACAACAGAATGAACACTAAAGTCATAAAAGCACCCACCTCAATTGTAGTAATATACAAAAAAAGATTGCCCATAAGGATATGGTACAGGGAGAAAGAATTAGTTCGTAGAAAGAAAGGTATAATGCAATTTTAATCTCCCAATTTAATGGAAGACAAATAGCGTGTAAACCTACTCCAATGTTAACGTAATTGACAACTGAGCTAATATTCAGGTTGTTTTAATCACATATTGGTCTGTCTTGAGGTAATATTGGAAGTCAGAAAACACTATACAGATTTCTCGAACAGAAATGTTTCCACTAAACAATGAACATATATTATTACGTCAGGAGTCAAACGGGAAGACTCTAGGTCTTGTGGTGAACTTTAAACAACAGGGACCATTGGTGCTACATCACGTTCGATTGAATTTTGATGTAAAGAGACAAACATTCAATGTTATTGGGGACAAATATTTTACTTGTAGTATGTCTGAACTCATTGATTTTGAGAAGGCGGTTGACCGTGTGGACCGGAGAACATTATGGAAACTTCTTCGACACTATGGAGTTCCTCAGAAGATTGTCAACATTATCCGGAACTGATACGAAGGACTAGAGTGCAAAGTCGTGCATGGAGGACAGCTGACAGATGCATTTCCAGTAAGGACCGGAGTCAGACAAGGCTGTGTACTCTCCCCCTTCCTCTTTCTCCTAATGATTGACTGGATTATGAAGACTTCGACATGTAAGAGGAAGCACGGAATACAATGGACATCTCAGAACCAATTAGACGACTTGGACCCCGCAAATGACCTAGCCCTAGTATCTCATACATAGGAGCAAATACAGATGAAGACAAAAAATGTGGCAGCAGTCTCTGCATCAATAGACTTCAACATACACAAAGAAAAAAGCAAGATTCTCAAATACAACTCGGAGAACACCAACCCAATCACAATTGATGGCGAAACCCTGGAAGAGGTGGAAACATTCACGTACTTGGAAAGCATCATTGACGAATACGATGAATCTGATGCAGTTGTGAAGACGTGGATTGGCAAAGCAAGGGTAGCATTCCTACATTTGGAAAGCATATGGAACTCAAAACAACTCTCCACTAACTTCAAAATAAGAGTCCTGAAGGGAAGCGGAAAAGAGGAATGCCAAAGAACACATTACGCCGGAAAATAGAAGCAGATATAAAAAGTATGAATGTTAACTGGAAAGAACTGGAAAGGATTGCCAAGGACAGAGTTGGATGGAGAATACTGGTGGGCGGTCTATGCTCCTGCACGAGGGGTAACAGGCGTAAGTAAGTAAGTATATCTGAACTCCACCAGTCGCGGCTACTCACTAGAACGTCTGGAACATTTCGAAGTAACTCATTTGTAAGGTGACTATTATAATTTAATTCAAACGGTTAATAAGGGTTAGTTTACTTAGTAGTTTGTATTGATCAAGTCCAAAAACAGAATTAAAACTAAAAAAACATACTACTTATTTAATATTATAGTAATAATATAATGTATACATACTTTTAAATAATTCTTCATAGCATCCAAATTATTTTGTATAGCTTGTTCAACATTTATTGTCCAATAATACATTGAACCAGCTAATATAGCTTGACCACACCATAATTTAACCCATTCTTTACGTGGTTTATTTAAATAATCATTTAATGCATTATTAATATTAAATTGTATTGATTGTATCATCATTATTTCTAATTGTAATAACCATTTTTCAACTGAACCATTTGCTTTTATTGTTGATATACTATTACATAATTCAATTAATTCATTTTCACTACTTTTAATATGTGTTATATCTAATGTTTTATTAAATACTAATGATGCAATACCTTCAAAACATTTTTTTAAATGAGGTTGTACTCTTGTTGGATCTTTAGTTTCTGATAAGATTTCTAATAATTCATCATTTGATAAAAAGAAAAATCTTGAAAAATATAAACGTTTTTTTTCTAAATATTGATTTAAACCTTTTAAAATATTTTCTAATAATAAATTAGATTTATTAAATTTATTTAATATTTTATCAATTTTTATAACATTTAATATAGATTGATTATGATGAATTAGATTCATTAATTCTTTCCATATTTTATCAACTATAATAAATTGTCTACTTTCATTTGGCATTTGTGTTATAATATCAGGGGAATTAAATATTGGTTCTAAATATAAATAGGTAGATTGTACTTTTAACCATTCATCTAATATATCTTGAGTTAAAATTAAATTTTGTTCCCAATCTCTTTTTTTTTAAAAAAAAAGAAAAAAAATAGTTGCTAGGTAATTGTGATATTGATTTGTTTATTAATTAAAAAGTAAACAAAATGAAATGTTAATTAATTATTATCTTAAAAGGGTTAATTTATCCAGTATGTTATATCCTAGTGAAGACATATGTACGGATGACTTCCGGGATCTATTAATGGACGATTATTCTATATATATTCCTATTGTATAAATATTTAGTGATTAGACTTAATCTACATTTAATAAAGATCGATTATTAGATATTACTATATTCATTAATTTTTTCTTGATTGATGATTTAATTATCAGAAGAGGGTTTTGTGGAGATTCTAGTAATTTTATATAGTTGAAATCATGAGTCAATTGAAGTTAGATCATCATGAAAAACCTGGAAGCACTAGACGTCCGTTTCAACCTATTGTGGGACTTCTCAGCAGTGCGCATCCGCGATCCCTCCTCGCGAGATTCGAACCCAGGACCTATCAGTTTCGTTCGCGAGCGCCTGACTTCCAGACTACTGAGTCAGCATCCAACGGTGTTAATGTCTAACTTCAACCAATACACGAAATTGAGCAACCTTTCACCAATGCCTTCAGCGAGTTTATATCTACCAACAGACCTGCTTGAATTTCAATGAGGAGTCCCACAATAGTTTGAAACGGTCGTCCAGTGCTTCCAAGTTTTTTGTGATGGTCTAGCTTCAATTGACTCATGATTTCGACTACATGATGATTTAATTATTAAGATTATTCTATTAACTTTACCATCTGATCATAATAGATAACATAGTATATCATACAAATAAAGGTTAGTTATTACATTTCAGTATATAAATTATTGAGAATAACATTAGATTGACGGCGATTTCTGTATTGTTTTTTAATAAATTTTCTTCAACCCCTTTTTTAAAAAATTTTCATCCCACTTCCCAATTTTTTTTATTCCGTTCCGTCTAGTTGAATTGCTAGTTTTAAGTTCGTTATAATTGGTTATTTATTTCTTAAAATTTGTATAAAATGTCTGTACTTGTCAATAGAAATAATTTTCTTCACATTATGGACGATAGTAACGTACAAAGTACAAGGTCAGTTGTTCCTCACGTTGTCACAGAAACAGATACAGTATTTTTAAATACATCGTATCTGGTAGTGTTCTCATCACTTGAAACGTTAAAGAGCACCATTAAAACTTATGAAAGAAACGTGGAATGGTAAATAAAAATATGCATTACAGTCTTTTGTAGTTTTCAAAGCTATCTGTCATTAATCGAAGCAGAAGACGAGAATTTTCACCGATATGTGAGAGATCACTTATTGTCTAAAAATGGAAATTGGCTCATCGACGAAATTAAGTAATACTATAAATTTTAATTGAGATCATGAACCGACCGATATTAGAACACCATTGAAAACCTAAAATTAATCATTTCATGATCTTAATAAAATTTTAATAATCTCCAAAACTCCATATTGTTATTAATATGAATCTTGAATCTATCAAATGTTATAACAAAACTTTGTCTAAATCATTCTGAACCTATACTTCAAATAAAATCAGTAAATTAAAGAGCCTAAAATCTTTGAGTTTGCTAACCAAAATCAAATCAATATTAAAGACAATCTATCTGTCCCGAATTACAGGGAAATATCTATATTGTATACCTAACATATTATTGACTCTGAAACTAATATCATTTCATTTAAGAAGAAAGAAATTATTTGTAGTTTACCGAGGAATCATCTCATTGAACAGCAACAAAATACTGTACAATCATCCTAATCAATTAAACCTTAGGTATGATATCCCATGTATTTAAACAGGTTAAAATTAAACTGAGAAACTTTAATCAATAATGATGATTATGTGATCAAGTGTTCTCAATAATTTGTCGGAATATTACATTGCCTCTTAACCTGAAACGTCATACTTTGGAAATTACATGACTAAAGGTTTTTTAAGGCTAAAATTTCAGTGAGACATTTGCATTCATCTACCTAACTAAGGTTTACATGAAATGTAAATAACAATAAGCATTTAACATAAATAACTTGCAAATAAATGTAAAGACCAATATTACGATCAGTCTAATAGTCAAAATACATAATATGTGCAATATGTTAACGTTAATATTTATTATCAAACGGATCAATAATAAATAAATGAAAGTTAATCACTAGTCATCAGGGTGAAATATTTGTTGAGATTGTTCAATTTGTAATTAGTTTTCACTATAAACTAACACATCATTCGTGACCTCTAGGGCCTAACCTTTTATCATCGGTTACTGAAGTAGGAAAAAATTTTCAGTCATTCATTTCTTATTCAATGATGTTGACTTTCCATTAAGTCTAAAACTTAAATACCGATTGGTCATGGAAGAGCATTATTAAAGCGAAAATAGTCTTCCATAAATTGTGGATGCCCAATCTTTTTTCAGCTGATGTCAATATAAGATAAAAACTAACCTGAATCATTTTAATTTACAATGGTTTAAATTATCCCCTTGTAGGTATTTTCAAAAGAATCTCAATCAATTTTATTCGGTACATGTGCTTCCTATAGGTGATTACCTCTGTCTATTCCGTACAACTTGAATCACTTCCATATATATATATATATATATATATATATATATATATATATATAATATGTATATGTATAGTATGTAACTTACTTGATTTCCGCTTCGAATGGTTTAATATAAGGTGATCCACGCATTGTTTGCGTTTTTACAATATGATCATCCAACAATGTTTGTATATCATCCACTGAAGAAAGTATAAATGTACCACTATCACGATATGGTATCAAGTTGAACTCCATCTATAAATGCAAATAATTAAAACAGAAAATCATCACTTGAATTGTGTAAAAAAAAACAATTCAGAATTTTAAAATTTCTGATTGTGTATTAATCTCTCCTTAAGTAATTTAAAGGGTTAAGCCTCCTAATGTTCATTCAACATTTGATATTAATTACAATACAATCAATTTTAAGTTACAATAGTTTTAGGTTAGTTTGTTTATTGTCAGTAAATTTTATTTCAAATTTTAAAGTTTTAACATTGCTGAGGAGTCGCACAATAAGACGAAACGGCCGTCCAGGTTTTCCATGGTGGTCTAGCTTCAACTGACTCATGATTTCAACTATAAAATTACTAAAATCTCCACAAAATCCTTTTCTGATCTATTCAAATTGTAATTTATCTTCAACTGGGGAAGTTTTCTACCAGTTAAACTGCCACACCTATATTTATTTTGTGTCCTATGTGATGTGGTTGGATTCAACTGTATTTACCACTCTTTCTTCCAACGATACATAATAAGTAAATTGCACGAATAACTGCAATGTTTCTGATTTAGTTTTTCCGTATTTAGCAATAAAGTAATTTGTAGGCTTTTTATGATAACGGTTAAATACATACACAATTTGTATTGATAGGTATTTGTTTAGGACAGACCTAAAATAGGAAGGCTTATTGGAATCTATTTAGATTTGGAAAAAAGATGATCCAAATGTTTTTCTAGGTGTATATATAAAAATTAAACTGTATGTACACAAACATTTTAGAAAACAAACCAAAACACTTCATTTCCGATCAGTGCTTGTTCACATAAAGATATCATGTATAAAAGATATCACTATTACTTGAATTCACTTACTGGTTCCCATTCTTTATGCATTTTATCCAGTGTTTTTTCAAGATTATTTTCTTTGCTAGCAGCCTCGGAGATTAATTCAAATTTAGGTATATACGGGTCAAGATTCATATCAATTAATTTAGCTAAACACATTCCTTCTTCTTTATTATTTACTGTAAAACCAACTATTTCTGAAATTTGTTCACAATGTCTTTCACGTAAACCTGGATTAAATAATGTACGTATTAATGGTAAATGTTGTTTGAATTCTTCTACTTTTTCACGAACTTGTGTAGCAATTTTTCGTGGTGCTGGTAAAGTATCAAATGTTTTCTCCAATTTAAACAAACTACGATAATAGTTTGATACGTCCATTTCTACTTGTTCTGGTTCAACCTTATCCATAGATCCTTCCATCCATTCACTATATTTCTTATTGAATTCTACCGTCATTTCATATAGAGTTAAAAATGGTTTCAATATATTTTGCACTTCATTACGTAGTGGATATGATGTTGTATCCCATTTCAATGCTTCTTCATCTGCATTGAATCCATCTATTTTAGTTAAAGCTATTTCCAACTTTGTATTTAAACTTTGTGCTTTCTTCAAATATCGACTTATTTCATTGAGATCTCCATACCCTTGGAATTTATCCACTTGTTTTCGATATGATTCAATTTCTTCAATAAATCTTTCACGTTTATATCTTAAACTAATTTCAAATTCTTCACGTTTCGTTTGTGCAATACGTCGACTTTCAGCAAATACTTCATTCATACGTGTATGCCATTCAAATACCTGACTATTAATACGCATATCTGATGGATTTAATTGTGCATGATCCATAAGAAATAATAAGCGATCTTTAGAATTATCTAGTTCACGTTCTAAGGTGTTCATTTTAACTTTTTCTGCATGATTAACAAATTCATTGATTTGCATCATATGTGAAATATCAGTTGGAACAGTTAACGCTTTGGCGCTGATAAGTTCATATTCTTTAATCAACCTAAATAATATAGAAATATTTATTTATAATTAATGATTACTTATAAATCTATTAAGTAGTTTAAATAAATCATTAATTCTATGAATAACAGCTACCATGAAATTGGTAATAATAATAATTTTGAATATGATCATAAGCATTTACTTTCAATGAATTGAGTTATAGTTCCAATCAAGATTTAACAATAAAATCATGCTATAAAGATAATATTTCATTATTCATAGCTTCCATTTATACATATAATGAGTAAAACATGATAACAGTTGCACAGTCGGAGTGATGCATCATGAATTATCTGATAAATAATCTTAAGGTATGGTTAAGATCAGACAACGAGAGAAAACACAGTTAATAGAACGTGAGTGTAAAAATTACTAAAATAAGATCTAAATGACCTCATTAACCAGTATTGGCTACCTTAATCTCATTATTGCAATGTCTACAAATCGCATAATTTGAACAAAGTTTGTGAATCATTCAACTCATCCGTTTTGGGTAGAGTTATTTCACAGGATTAATAATCAATCCATGGACATTTAAATTTGGTGCTTTTGATAAAACTAAACTAGATTGTACTCACCTTAGCTGATGGAGTTATGCTTTTCAAAATTGTTGAATAACTTAAGATACACTAGGTTGAGAACACTCAAATATAAACATCTCTTGAAGTGTGTGTATTCTCAGTTGCAGTTACTGATGGGCAAATATTCAGTAACTTTTTACCCAAGTATGCTTTTTTAGTTGAAAGCCAGGGAGTATTGGACTGCTTTGTGTACCTAATATGAAACCGCTTAAAAGTGCGCATCATTCACCTCATAAAGAACCGAAAACTGGACCATGTGGACTGGTGGTGAACGCTCAACCTTCAGACCGATAAATTGCGATCCAGCAGTCAATATATCTCTGGTCGTAGTTAGTCTATACTAATGCATGACCATCACCTATTACAATTGATGATATTTGTCTCAAGCTCAACGTGGTTGAATTCCATTGGGCACGACATCCCACTTGAACTTCGTGAATTACCCCTTGAAGTAAGTCTTTCGTAAGGACATGATCATTGTTATAAGGTGTTCCTGAAAATTATTAAACTTCATACCTTCTTGCCTTGATCGATTTTGGTTCGATAACAGCTGAAAACCAACAAGTAGTGTATAGCTGTTTCGTCTTAGCATGAAATTCCTCAACAAATAACATCCGTGATATTGTTTACTGCCCAGTGATTAATCAATCTAAATTTCGTTAACAGTCAACTTTTTCATAAAATCACGTATACAAGTGACGGAAACACAAAACATATAGGTTAAGTGTGACGAATACAGTGTAAATAAAATTAGAAATTTACGTTTTATTCATTATTCTATGATCTTCCAAAATGCGTTCCAAAACACGATCTGATATATTTTCAGCTCTTTTAGTTAAAGAACGAATTAATTCATCACAATGTACTTCAAATAATCCCAAACGAATTATACGTCTAGATTCATATTGAATTTTTTTCATTAAACGATCATATTTTAATAGTTCACGTGTCAATTCTTCAAATGGTGGTCCAATAGGTTTATTTTCAATAACATCTTTTTCAGATTCCTCTTCTTCTAATTCCATCTTACCATCAAGATTTTCTTGTAAATCGTCATCATCAGTGGATTCAACGGCTTGAACCGTTAGTTCTTGTACTGGTGGATTTAATAACAATTCAATGTTTTGTTCAGCCTGTGAAATCACAAGAGATTTTGTCATACAAATAGTTATTTGCCAAAATGAACTTCAAACAAATATACAAACAATATGTTACAGAGGACTGACGATACTCAAAATGTGTTCCCATCAGTCGCTAGTTTAAAAAAGTAATTTCCATATTATTACGAACTGATCTCATAGCATAACACCATAGCTGTTGCATCGTAACTCAGCATCTCTAATCTATGCATTCATTTGGCTCTTTACGGGTTAGATGCTGAAAAAAATAAATTCTTTGTCAAACATTTTACATTTGACTTGACGTGGCAAAACCTGAAAGTTAGCTCACGATATAGAAAATAATTTACCAGTATAACATCAAACAGCACTCATCCTGTCTCAGGCGATATATAAAACCGAAAAAATTTAACTTCATATTAGAAGTCTACAGTATTCTGGTTTTTAATGTTTGTTTAAATAAACTCAGTTTGTGATGTAAAGTGTCATTAAATTAAAAAATCTTTACAAATTCCTCATTCTAACGTTATTAGTTATTGTAAATGCTAAATAACTATCAGAAATGTAAAAAAAGATCTCCTGCTAACTCAGTCGTTTTACATATTAACGAGTCACATCGAGATCTGAAGGCCTCAAGTTTAATTTGCGGCATATTCGTGAATAGACATCCCTGAGGTGTTTCCCACTGAGATAAAACATCTGCTCCTTGGTTTTTATTGGTATTGTGGTATGTGCTACTGATGTCGATAGATATAAGTAGTATGTATTATCAATCGAAAGTGAAAAACCTGGCGGCACAAGGTTAAGAAGATCGAAGAAAAGAGAACAAAAACAGAGAAGGATTCATGTGGAAACAAAGGAATAATAAAGTCTGAGACAATTGACTGATATTTTGCAAATGAAATATTTACTGTATGGATCTCAGATTTTACTAAGAAATTCTGTTATTTTGTTTTCAAGTATATTTGGTTGTTTCCACTTTTGTTCATGTTCACTACAGTATTACAAATGTAATCAATCCTTAACGAATATAGCCTACAAACCACAAGCTTATGTAAAAGAAACTCTTACTTGTCTGTTGACTAAAAACTGATATTTATCATATTCTCGTATATGTAACTCTGGTCCTTTAAGTTGTAATAATAACATTTTTCTGACTTCATTTTTACGTTCTTCTATAAGATCACTTAAAATAATTGGATGTAATGTGGAATTCTCAGATTGCTAATGAAAATATAAAAAAAAGTAATTGTAGTACAATTTGATAATTAATATATTGAAACAGTTAGGAAAGAAATAATAACGTACTGTAATACTGAAGAAAAAAAAGGTGTGTAGTTTTACTCTTACTGACCTTAACTCCTCTTTTTATGTTATGTTTTAATAAGTCAATAAAATAAGTCAATTCAAACATATATACAGCTTGTATGGTGTTATATTTAATTGTCGAAACAAATTAATTAACTTACTCAGTTGTTGTTTTACTTCATTTTTATTGTTTGTTTAAGTTTGAAACCTTTGCTTATTTTGAATATGTTATGCCCCGGTAAGGATAATGAATGGTAACTTTGGGATCTATTTATAAACCAATACTATGCATATATTTTTTATCGTATAATTGCTAAATAACTAAACTATACATATTCATGTTCCCCTTATTATAAGCTTTATTTTGACCTATAGACTATTATTATACGATTTACCATTCTTGAGTTATCCCTAGTTTATTAATTACAGCCTCCTACATTCACAGTCACATTTGGCTAAATCGTGTACACATGTTATTTTCTATTTTATGGTACGATGTGGTCAGTTTGATTGGTATATAAACTCAGTATGTTTGAAATATAATGATTCATTCCGCAGAGGCTAAGATCGGTGTTCTGGACTCAACTGGCTGGGCTAGGCAGAAAGCAGGACCTATAAATATTCTAGACTGCTCGTGCGGTTTCCATGTGTCACTGTTCCAATTGATAATTCGCTGCTCTCTGATTGGCGGTTTTTAACACATCATACGTTAACAAGGCATCCACTCGGCCACAAGTTATAATAGAATAATTTGCTCATTTTTCGAAATAGAATCTAATTTATCTTTTAATCGCTTGTTGATACTTCCTGTTGGTATAACATGTATTGTTTTGTGATTTGTAGTTACATTTTCTTCATTCTCTTAAATAAAGGATGCATTTTATCTTTTCCACTGAATCCATCTGAGTGGACCGACATAACAACTGAGCTATACATAAAATCTCATAACCGAAAGATAGGTTTCACCTAAAATTACGGCACTATTATAACGAACAAAATGAACTATAAATATTTATAAACTGTGAATTGTAAGGTGTCCGAGTATCAGTTACACTATCATAAACACTCCGCGAAAGACACTGAGTGATTTACTTACAATCATAATTATTTCTATCCAGTTATAAAAATAATCATTCAAAGAGGGTAAAAAGCTTAAAAGCATGCTCATGTATTTCTTCAGTAGATAGAACATCAAAGAGTTAAGAATGTATAAAAATAAGAATCTATTTGTTTTTCCATATTGTTTCGTATCATAACTGTTGAATGAAACCATCTTTATAAACATTACATAAGGTTTGCTATTGGTAATGGTATATACGATATAACTATTAGTTATAATTATTACTTTTCTGCAAATTTAATTGTTGATGTTAGTTAACTCATAATCTTTAAAAATCTTGTACAGTCAAACGTTATTATTCAGTGATAGATTTATAAAGTTTGTTAAAACCCGGTTACCAGAGAGTGTTAGAGTATATGATTATCATCATTTGGAATTTGAATGAGTAAAAGAGAATCTTTCCCAAGATGGAAGAGTTGATGTTATTTTCAAATAGAGGTAAGATGGTTGTTACTTAGTATATACTTGCTTTCAACTTGAAGTCTATAAATCCTAAAGTATAGACACTAAATAGAATATTATTTTCTTTTAGCAATCTGGCCACCTTCACTTTCCTATATAATAAACATTTATCAGTATTGAAGACCTAACCATTATCCTTTTTACTATATGATTGATTAGTTAATTAACATAATTATGTTTAACTGATTACTAGAAATGAGTTAACAGATAACAGCATCAACTTAAATTTTAATACCGTAGAAAACATGAGTTGGAGAAATTCCTTTATGATTAGCTTAAGCTAAAATAGATATCTATATAACTGATAGTTGAACACTTAACACTAACTTCTAACCGCTTCCTAGTTCCTCAGAAATCTAAGGCAGTTAAAAGCCTAGTGAAAGATGAAAAGTGGGAAATATGAAAAGAAATTTCATTTTTAAGGCTGGTTTAGGAGCAGAAAGCCAAAATATTCATCGTTTTATGGGTGGCCTTCATATTCTAAAAGCCTCTGGAAAAGTACTTGATTTAGTTTCAAAATCAACGGCCATTCGCCTAGAATATGGAGCATAATTCATCGTTCTTCTAGAACTTTCTGGGGACTTTTTATTGAACGCTGACTGAACAAAGTAATCGTAACCTTTACCAGCTTCTGAGGAATGATCAGGAGTTCTAAACAGAAATAGTCTTGATGCTGTCAAAAACTATCTTGAAACAAATATCAATCTAAATTCATTTAGTACTGAACTAAATTTCTCCATACATATCCTTAATTTTGGTCATTTGAAGAAAAACAAAATATCAAAGAGTATTAAATAAATGTTTCATTTTAACTTGGGATCTTTAATCATAATTGTACACTGAAGAATAGACTAAGCAAAATATCAAACTTCTGTCTGTTTGATTTATGAAATGTAGTGTAGCTGAATTAAATAAATGAATCAATTGGCTAAATCACTGTTCGCATTAATCCACATAATCTGAATTGTAATCAATCTATTGAAAAGATGTACAAAATGACTGTAAGTTATCTTAGATATTTAAATAGTGAAACAGTATAGGTAACTTGACAATATCTTTTGTGTCCGCATGTACATGAATTATTAAAAAACATAAGAGCATTGAATAGTTGGAGCTAACTGTTAAAAGACATGAATAACCTGTTGAAACTTATTACAAAGATACAACTGTAATCTCAAAGAATGCTCAATACATCTTCAAATATCGAAAATGTCTTTACTGAACATTGTATTGTGACATTTTACTACTTGTGATATAAATGATTTTCAGTTGTTTCTGTAAATCATACAACACTTACCCAATCAGAATAAAGACGAGTTTCAATTTTAGGAATACTTTGAATAACATTATACATATAATCGAACATGTTTAATAAAGTACTTTCGAATTCTTCTATAGGTGGCTCAAATTTTATCATATTCTCATCTAAAACAAGACGTAGAATAAATCCAGGATGTTGCTGACCATTCGGATCAATCTAAAACAATAAATACAACAAATGTTAGCATCCTTTTGAAGATCGATAAGGAAAGAATGGTAGCGAAATGCAATTCATATGAAAATGCATAAACAATAATAATCGGTAACTATGGGCTGATATTTGCAGAAGGAACGGTCAAGATTTAGACAATCGATTAACAGTTTTCAAATCAACTGTTTACTGTATGGTTGTCAGATTTTAGTGAGCTAGCCTGTAATTTTCGTGTCAAATGCATCGACAGTCCCCACTAGTCTTCTTGTTCATTAAATATCTTTCTAAGTCATAAACTATCATAAAACTTTCCAAATGATCCAATCAATTGTTTACGTTAAGAATCATAACGGCTAATGAAATTGGCCTCGGGTTTGGTAGTTGGGTAAGAAGAGTAAATGCAGCTTCATTGATTAATTACCTTGTTCATATCTTATCATTTAAATTTAAGCAGTTAACATTGTCTGAAATCTTCATATCTGTTTCATTCATTACGTCACATATATTGTGTGTACTATAATGATTGAAGATCCAATTTTCAAAGTACAAGTTTACTTCAATTACTTTCATTGTCTAATGCAACAATAATTCATCACTATTAAGCACCAGTTTTTTATTAATAATGATAATAACTTAGAAAATACACATAAAACAAATTGTTACCACCTACTGGTGATTGACAAATAAGATTTTTGTAATCCGACATTGAAATTAACCCAAGGTTTTGTAAATTCTCTGTCATCAGTGTGGCTGCGCATCTATAAAATGCCTCAAGTTTCAATGGTTCATCACTAGTTGGAACAAGTTTACGTCTATTTCCATGATAGAAAATACTTTGTATTTCATTAAGCCATCTAGAAGAAGAAAATTAAAAACAACTAATAAAAGTAAATTTCTAACCGCTAAACTATAGAGGACAGCCACTGTAATAATAAATAGCATCCAAGCGATATCTTTTGCCTGCTGAATAATATCTAATATACATAAACGATGGGATTAGTTTGTAAATGAAGTACTTCATTACACGCTCACTGATTGATCACTGAGTAGTAACTAGCGACATGACTGTTTAGTCCTTAATCTGGTAGAATTCCGTGAACCAGGTTGCAATATGGCCACTTGTTTTAGTGATCTCACACCATGTACACTGTATTTTAATGTTAGGTGAATGGAGGCAGTCTATAAGAAGTCGTGGATTCGGGTTTCATACTAGTTTGTACATGGAGAACCTGCGATACTGATAGGACTGATGCCTGCTGCAAAGTTGGAACTCATATTGCAGCTGTAGGTTTTACCAATGAGCTGTTGTTCCCAATACCGACCACCTGGACAACTAATACATAAACGTTGGTTGATCATTTTGAAGTAACTAATGTTGTATATCTTACCAGTACTCAGTGGTAATAAAATTTTAAGGGGTTTGAAATCAGGCGATCGATAGCATTTGATCAGCTCTAGAGACTGGACATGAACAATATCGGTTACTTATCACTAATCACTGTACGTACCACAGTTCTGTAAAGGTTCTGTTGTTGACATAATGGCTCAGTGGTAACGTCTCTGAATGACAGAGATCAGGGGTCAGGCTAAAATCGCCTCCCATATGATCATAGATACGTTTAGCTGGTGTATGTTAAATAGCAAGAAATATAGGTTCAGGGATTACGATCGATTGCCTCAAATTACGAATTACTTTATTTCATCCCACTAAGTCTCGGCATAGATTCAGAAAGCTGATTTGACTTTTGATGGGTTGCGCCACCTGTACATACCGGCGACCCCATTCTGACAACCAATGACAAGCATACTTTCCAAGCGTTCGCCCTATCATACTTTATTGACATGAAAGATGAACTTTAAAATTAGAAGATATTCGTGGGTTACTAATATTTGACCACAGGCTCCTTTGAAACATTTTTCGAGTACGTTGAGACCATCGAGTGAGTAACGCTGAGGTTTGACTCAGTGTACCGGACAGAAATGGAAAACTGCCAGATGAAGTACAGAATCTTTGTTGACTGCGGTATATACACACCACATATCTGGGCACTCAAAGTTGCTCGGTTTAAAAGTTGTTCGAAATGAATCTAGGGGCGGCCAAAACAAGATGTAGCAACTAAACGTGAGGTCGTTGACTTATGGCGAGAGCTCTCCTAGTATAGATGCAGGACCCGTGATTGGGATCCATGCTATTATCGTAACCAATGTTTACAATTCACTTAGTATTGTTTGTTTGAATCTTCCCATCAATGTGTTAGGACTGCAACTGGTCAGTCTCTAATTGGCATATGTGCATATGTGCGTATTGCCTCGATATAGCCTTGATTCACAAGCATGATAAGCAAAGATGGATAATGGCTAGCAGTGGACGCGCGTTTCGTCCTATTTGGGACTCGTCAGCTGGATGTACCTGCATCTCAGAGTTGATGTTCACTATGGGACTCGAATCCAGTACCCTCGCTTCAAACGCCATCGCGTTATCCACTCGGCTACTGAGTCCTGATAGCCACTTGCTTGTGAGCACAAGCTTTGCTTATCAATGTTTACAATGTTTGAAGATATTTGCTAACATGTATCAGAATCAATCACAGTGACACATATCCATTCTCTCTCTGTCTCCCCTTGAGTTTTAATTTTTACAATCATTTTATACTGTTCTGTTCTACGATCTCACTCATTTTTCTCGAATCATATTATCTGCACTTAACGTTCTCCACAACCATTGATATGATTATTCCTACTCCGATTTTCGTTTCAACAATTTCATTTAGCTGAGTTGATATGTTGTCTTAACTTGCACCGATATACATACATAAAAGGATCTTGATCACCAATATGTGACTGACTACTACTTTATGGTGCACAATAACTGAACAAATTTTTCTCTTGATGAACAATGAGTGACTTTAGTGTACATGGTTTCACTATTTATTCCATAGTTCTCATTAGGTGTAAGGTATTCTTATTCTTTTGAAATTCAGATGTGTAGTTTGATTAAAAGTTGATATTACTTGGATTTCAGCCTCATTGAACTATTTTTTGACTTCTTTACTTGACAATTTTATCTGAGTTTTTGTGCTGCGTCCAATGATTACAGGACTGGCTGATACTTGTTGAATACAAAATTGATTTAAGTAATTGATCATCTGAAGTAATTTGATAAATGACTGAGAAACTTATTCATGAAATGCTTGTCTTAATATTCCATGTGATATATCTCTGTAGTAGAATCGGGAATGAATCTTCAACTAACAATCAACTAATGTCATCAGGGTCAACGTTTTGGATTCCTCCTGTGATTATGATGAATTCTGTAGGGACTGATTTCTGATGGTGTTGGCGCTTCTTCAATAGATCCCATGGTGTGGTTTGTGTATACAGATTAACTTTATTTTGGATAATGGCTATGAATGACATTTAAAACATACATGCAGTTCCACTTATCAACAGTGACTAATAGTTTCACTCCTGAATAATAATAACAAGAGAATCCAATCCCTTGTGATCTATATTAAGTCATATGTTTTGAACAAGATCTCGCTGTTGTGACTCAACACCATAGCGGATAAACCTCTGACAGTTGTAGAGGTAAACGATTTAGTTGAAGTCTCAGCGGGAACATCGACCTTCGTGCGGAATTCCAGGTGATGGAATACTTGTTCTAGATCCCAAAACGGGTCATTGTTATTGGTATAATTATATGTATATATGATGTCGAAAGTCCACACTATCCATTCAGTGTTTATTTCAAAAGGACTTTTGAGAAAATGAAAGCGTGTCAAAAAGACTGTTATAATTTTAAGGTTAACGAATTTCACTGGTAAACAGGCTTATCTCTATTTCTTCCTCTTTAAATCATTCGTTAGCAATACAAGCGTCGAAAATCTGACAGCCACGAAAGAATATGCGCTAATAAAAAGGCACTAACATTGGATTTATACTAAACAAAACTTCTTCCTAAGACAAACATTGCCACGATTAAATATACTAACTTTTAAAATAGACAAGCATTAAATAACACCTACTTTTTTGTCAGTTTCTCTTTTGTACTTTCAATGTGCTTCACACAAATTTGTTGAAATGTAGATAATTCTAAAGCTGATGATTTTGAGTATACTTCTTGAATATCAATTAATCTTAAGTCGCTAGGATAAAAAAACAAACCGTTTTTGTGGTTATTAGAAAATTCATTAAGGTATGAAAGCTAAATGTGTTTACTGTAAGTTTAGAAGTTAACTTACCTAAAGTTGGTATGGTAATAACAACCTACTTCTAGGTTTTACCAGAAATACAAAAATGAACATTTTACTGCTAGTACGGCTTTTAATCTAGTCGATCGGATATCAATAAAGACGAAATGTCTAAGTGATACAAATATGTGAAATTGTAGCACCTAAAGACGTTATTGATTAATAGCCTGAATTTTTGTTACGATGTAGATGAGAATCAGAAACTGAGCAACTGATCAAAGAGGTTTAGTTCATGCTTTTAAGCTTGTACACTGTTCAAAAAAAACCATAATGTTTTGAGACGCTGAAAATATAGTGTACTATAAACATATTTCTCACTATAAGAGCAAATATATATGATTTACAAGAAATTGACTTACGCAAATTTAGTATACCATAAATTCAATAATTGATGAATACAGATGTTTGTTATAAACAAATTGTTTTGACAGTATTTATAAGCCGATAAGAACGCTGAATGCCATGGTTTCGGTACAATATCTAATTCTTTACGATATTCTGATACGCTGTGTTCCTCGGCATTGTTGTCGGAAACTATGTCCGATTCACATGAAGCTTGCTTTTTATCTGACGAATCATTGAAAACAAAGTTTACAATTGCTTTCTTAACACTAAGTAAGTAATCATTACGTATTTCATCTTCCAGCTTTTCTAGTAAGGCCATGTTAGTAGATTTCTGGAAAAAAGAACGATAGAATTACTGGCAACTATTAATTACAAATTTCTTCAATTTAAAAAACTAGCTAATTCTAATTTTTCAATGAATGTTTCATACTGACAGCAAAAATAAGGCTGAAAGGGATCAAAATTTCCAATTTAAATGGACTAAAAATGTTTGAGTTTTGCTTAGGTCAAGTCTTATAAGATAAATATTTTCAAGGAAAAGTAGGTAATGTGGATGGAGAAAGTGATTACGTATAAAGCAGTGTAAATCAATATAAACCAAATTGTGGAGCTCAATAAAATGATCGTATGAAGTGTTCAAATTAATGTTTGTTGACCCTATATGTATTGAAACTATAATCTACGTAACAATAATGTGTAGTAATAATTCTCTTGTTAAACTAGGATTGCAGACTTTATGATAGTAAACAAAAGTAATAGGATGATGGCAGCTACAACAGAAAAGTGTAAAAGACATACTTTGTCGGGTTTATTGGCTATAACATTCTTATTGTGATGTCAAGTAGAACGCAATTATACATTAGTCCACTTAGCTATGTCAATAGACACTGTAAACGTGGTTGTCACTGATAGTTTACATACGTTTGCATTGTTCTAGGTTGCGTCACAGAAATTATGGATACAGGAGGAATAAACAAAATGGGAACAGGACAAATTGGCACACAAATGTGAAGAAATCTTACACTCTTGTATGAATGCAAGTTCCAAGTAAATGCGTAAGGTTAATATGTCTGTCTGCAAATTCAGGTAAAATGTTGGGATCTACTCACGAGAAATCAGGTCAAATCCACGTTTTAAAAAGCACTGTGTACAAAATCATTCAAAGTAAAAATCAAATTAGTTTCCAAAGCAGAATAATGGGGATGGTTTATTAGCGTTTTAAGAAAATGTAATATATCATACTGCAGTTTATAAGAGGGTAAAAAGTAATTTCTCAAAGCAACGAAGGATCATCTGTCATCGTCACTCACAATTCTCAATTAACCTTAACTGCGAACGTCCACCGTGGTTTTGAGAAACTTTAGGTAATTCAAGTATTCTCGAACAGATGTATCTCAATTGTTCTCTCTTAATGTTTTACATACTTATCTTTTCTGTTAACTAGCAATATAAACATATATATACATAAAACATCGCTGGAAATATATTTAAGCGTGGAGTTTGAATAAAACTGTTGGTAGCTCACAAATTTCTTCCCTTAGGGTTCTACTGAACTTTCACATCAAGCTAGGATTTTAGGATGTTAGGGATCACAGATTGAAATAACCAGATGTTGAGATTTAAAATCTGTCACACCATAGACCATAAATGAACTCTTGTTTTTTTGGTTTTCGATTGATGTGAGGAAATAGCCTCAAGACTTCAAAGAGCTTAGTCAGTTTATCATTACTCAAGTGATACTCTATCAGATCAAGTAAGGAACATGTAAGAGATTCTGGCAGCTTAATCCTAACAAGGTCAGAAGAACTCAGAAAATGAAACAGAAGACGTAAAAATTAGGAAAAATTCGTGATGCAAGGTTTTCATTATCATGTAATGAAACCCTGGTATGTACCACTGAAAGAAGTGGTATCTTGCTCCCGCGGTTGACTCATTCAAGAGAAGGGTGGATGTATGAAGTAAAATGCTAGTAATGAACAACAAAAGTGCTTAAAGTGGTTAATCCGAGGATTTTAAAGGTTCAAAGCATAAGGAAATCGATACATTCTGTGGTCAGTCAGGAATATAGCTTAAATAACTCCTTCGATTTAGCTCCAACATTCTTAAATGGTAGAGAAGCACATTGGCATATGAATATACATTTAAAAAACGAAAATGCATACATTGAAATCCGCTTTAATTGAAGACACCATACGCTGTATCCACTTCTCATTCATTGGAGCTACATCATCAGTATTAATTCCGTTGTAAATGTAGTAATAATACCTCTACAATATTTAGACACGATTTAAATAAATGACTAACCAAAATTCTCTTTTCTTTGTCAGCGATACTATTAGCTGGGCCGGTATCAGGAGTGGAAATCATCGATTTTTTACTCAAGTTCGTTTTTGGCTCACCACATGTATCAACAGCTGATTCTTCTCCACGACTTATTTAACTACATTAGACAAAGAAACAAAAACATACATTATCAAATCTACAAGTCCCAAACGAAAGCTTTCACCGGCCTTTCGTTTAACATTTTCTCCAGGGGATTCAAACATATTCTGCTTCCTCTTTTTTCTTTCTTCTAAAAGTTTAATAAACATTTTAGACAACTGTGAATTAAAATATATACTTTTGCTGATCTCCTCCAGAAAGTCGACCTGCGGCTCTACCGCAAAACGTTTTTTGGTGTTAACTGAAAAATGTGGGATTTCACTTCTCCATGAGGGTTGGTGTCGTTCATAGTCGAAAACTGGTAGCATAAACTTAGGTTGCGTAAATTCTTTAGCATTGAGTTTAGATTTAGAGGGTTTCTGAATATGGTGGTGGTTATTTAGTAAAATAGATTTGCAAACCATTTTATATTGTCTCTAGTCTATAAACAACAATCACATTACTTGTGTTATAAAAGCAGATAAAATGCGTATTTGAACTAATGCCTTTGAGGTCACTATAGGGGATACTTACACTATGCACTAAAACACATCAACCCCTTACTCGTCACAAATGACTTTTTCGCACCCATTATATTAGGAACAGTAGACACACGGCTGAACAATATTTTTTACAGGATATCTGTATATAAATACATCTTTACAGTGTTCTGCAACATCTCATACATCCATGTAGAGTTATGGTCCGAAATCCACATCTCGATATCATTGAAAAATTTCGAATTTTAAGTAGATTTTCTTAAATTTAGTTATTCAACCAGTCACAATAATTCTGGTGAGTTCAATAGGTAGAAAGAAAATACCATGTTTGTATTCACGTGAGTTTTTCTCTGAGTCTATCATGTTATAAAGGAGGAGCTTGGTTAGTTGTGCTAAAAAATTGAAAACTTAAAAAGGTTTAGGAAAAAAAATTGATGTGGAGTATATGGGAATTAGTATAATGATTATGAGTATTCTGAAAAATCACTATATATTTCACAGGAAGGGAGAAGCTGGTGAGTGCTATAATTCATTTTGTTCTTCCTTTTATACAGTGTTTTGACTGAGAGATAATGATAAATATGTATAAAAGTTATTACTTAGTTTGTTCACAAATCAATTTAATGAAGCGGCCAATGTTACATTAACAACGCAAGCTTTCTTTGGCATTTCTCATACTTTTGGTCCGTTGGTCACCCAACACTTTTTGTTACGGTTCCTACGATTTTGAGGTGTGTTATCGTGAATGTTTTAATGTTTTAAAACTAGATGAGTATTCTTCACACCTTGATGTTTGCTGACAACGTGAATGGCAAGGTCGATGAAAAAGAGTGGAATGCAGATATGATTTCGTTCATTAACAGTTTTTGAACACCCGCTTTTAGATCATGTATCTTACTCCTGATTGGTCTCACGAAAATGCTATGAGCAAATATCTTTCATTTAACTTACTATATTACTTATGCTAACCCCGTTTGTGTGATGCTGTAATAAGAAGCCAAACGTGTTGCGTTGAATGAATTTATTTCAAACACTCGTTATTCCAGATAGACATTCAGAATAGGAAAAGGGAAGACGAAACGAAGTGAAAAGAGCAAGTAGCCAACTAACTTTGATCAAGTGTGACTCAAAAGTTATAGTCAGACTGAAATAAGTTTCAGACAAGTGATCAGTAAGATAAGCGATGCCCACGCGTGCGTCAATACACAAGTAGTCAACATTATTAAGCCAATATTTAACAAGGTCAAAATGTGACGTGAAAAGAATGAGAGCCAAAATAACTCAAATGGTCTTGACATGGTACTAGACACTACAACGTCACGATGTGTCGGAGGTTATCATTCTTGTACGAGGCGAAAAACAATGTAAATCAACGTACAGTTTTGCAAGCCAATCATAGTCACAGTTATCGAGAACAGACCATAAAGTGGATTCTAACATGTAAATGTAGTGCTCAGAAAAGATAATTCTATGGAACTATCAACTATCTTATTCTAATTATACTTAAGCTATACACACAGAGGCGATGAGTGATCGTAAAATGTGTCTATCTATCTGATAGAAACTAACATACGGAATAAAAGCGTGAAATTGATAGTCATTATTCATATGCTTCTGATACATGTTAAATACATCGGAATGAAGTGTTGTATAATTATGGTCTAAGTCGCTATCAGTGCATTTATCTAAATGTATTTCAAGACGTCCGCTTTTATTTATACATCGGAGTTTAATAAAAAATTTTAAGTGAATAATTCAAACCATTTATTCGACATATACTTCTGTTTAAGTGTTTGCAAAGCCATTTTGCATTTATTTGTGTGCATAACGACGGGTGAAAAATCCCTTCTATAAATGTACGGTACTGAAGATATCACAGGTATTGTAAGTTGACAACACTTTACCAGAAGCGAGGAGGTTGGAAGATATTTTTCGATGGGTTATCAATATATCTAGAAGTGACTGATCTAATCTGGTTATTGATCACAGGAGATGTCACGCACGCCTTTCTGAAACGTGATCTGGTGCGGATGCATGACCGAGCACCTTCGGTTAAATAAGCCCATTAAAACTAATGTGCTCAGCATCCAATGTCGAACATTTACAGAGCTATTGATTTTGGGGATTCATTTACAGTACAGTATCAACATTGATGTTCTCTTTTACCAGGACAAGATTAATGATGTTATTTACTTACAGTTGTTTTCACACTCTCATATCACTTCTTAACTCATGCTTCTTTGTTGCTCGAACTTTTGGTTCACCTGATCTTTAATGACGGCGTATGAAACACCAGTTTGTTGATGGCTATTTGCACCCGCCTGAATCGATGAGCGCAAAAAAGTTTTCCATTCACAATAAAATATGTTTCACTTCTGTTGAAAATGCTTATATTCCTTGTGAAATAATAAGGTTTCACGCGACTCAATATCTACAGACACAATTATTCACCTATGTGTGGGTTACACTGAGCTATCCGGTGGAGTTGAACTGCGATCTTTGCTTGGTAGGGACATAATTGTTCCCGGACAATTGATTGGTTTTGCATATGCTAATATTATAAGATCGATATTGCATCGTTATAGTTAAATGTGATGAACGACGGATATCAAAATATAGTTTCTGCAATCCTTCTACGGAACATTAGAATAACAGCACGTCTCAACACTTAATTAAAACTCGTGTCAACGGTACAGAATCGCAATAAATGTTCTATTTTTGATAATCATAATAATAATCAATCTGCTGAGTGTCCAATGACACCTGTGGAATAGCAATCGATAATGAGTGAGACTGCTCAAACAGAAATAAATAGAACAAATGAACACTCGCCCACATCGAACTCTGGATGCACTTGAAAAACTAGTTGTACCATTACAGCAGCTTCTTTGATAAAAAGCTTTATAGCTAGGCGAAATCAGATTTCAGAAACGCTATGCGACATGATAATACATTTCTTGAAACTATTCGGGTATATTTTAGATTTTTATTTATATGCCTACTTCATTCCGACTTAGTACTAGACCTTCCTGATGAGTCGCTGCTTTGACCATTCCAGTCGGTATGCTACATTTACTTACAGTTCGACAACTTAGAATTTTCTGTGAACTACATTATCATCCAATGTTTTTTTGTCAACACTTTTGCAACATCACTTTGTCTGAACGGAAACCCTGAGAACATTTCCCCGAATTTTCCGAAAAGTGAGAATGATCAATGCACCTGAATCTCGAAGAAGGTAAGGTGACTATTAAGTATAATGGACAGCTATTTGACGTATAACATTTTTGAAAGTGACACTCTCAAACCATATGAATTCCTTGAGAAACCGGTTTGAAAAAAAGTCTTAACAGATGAATTTTGGATAGAATAGGTGTTTTATAACATTGATTCTAAGAAGGTTTATTCTACAGAATAGTTGTTAAGAAAAAGGATGTCAAAAGTCTTTGAATATTTGACAAGGTTTCTTAGGACAGCCCTTCCTACGCAAACACTCACGACATGCACAAGTTGTTATCTCACCCTCTTGAAATAACGCAGATTATGAAGTAGGCTCATCCACTCACCTCAATATGGAGACCATCAGTGAGTTCCTTTCATGATAAAGCCTCAAGTAACCAAAGAATAAATTGCAGAATAATAAAGTACTTACCGCTTTCCTGATCTTTAAAATGACCATAAAGGTCTACAAATTTATTCAAGAAGCCTCTCGCACAGAATATCACATTTGCAATCAACAGGATGAGAAATCCTGTTCATTGGTTCCGTCACAACAGCTACGGCTAAATATTTTAAATCTATAGGATTCCATGCAGTTATCTGAATTCTAAATACACTACAGCACCTAGTTCGTAAGTATTCTACTCGGCGTGTAGCTCCAACCACGAAAAAGCAGACAATAACAAATCAGGCCAACAAAAATGGACGAAGTTTCGATAAGTTCAAGCAAACCATTAACAGCGGCACAACAACCTGTCGCTAAAAGGAACTAGTGACCAATGTACAGAGGACAATGGAAAACCGATAACCGTATGGTTCACCCAAAACAACTTGCGTGGTTTTCATTACCTCATGCCCGGAAAAGAATTGCAATGATTCCCACCTTGTCAGTGACCGCAAACAACTACATGCTGAAATCATTCCAGGTTGTTATATTTTACGACAGATTTAACAACGCTCTCAAAGTTTAACAGAAGGTAGTCATAGATATATTACTGTTCCTGATATTTATCAACAACCCTTTAGAGTAAGTTAGCTCACAGCCACTATGGAAGCCGCACAATTATCAGGAGATCCATAAAAGGATACATTTGAGCTATCAAAGGTCAGAAAATTGGCACGTGACAACGGGTTGAAAATTAACCCGTCGAAATGTCAGGTAATAAACATCCTGCCCCATTTGACAAATATAACTTATGTTTTCCTTGAAAATACACTACCGCAAAACCTTCATCAACTACGAAAAGTATGACTACACTAACATCCTCTGCGAGGATAACTTCGTTTTATCTCCTTTACTATTGTCCCCAATTTTCTTGTGTCCTTAAACTCCTTTCTTTTCACGCAGTCTACAATACCAACTAATTAACGCAATTATCTTCTTATTTAGACAATTACTTTCAACTGACCTACTGATGCATGGGCTGCTGCTACACTGGTTGTCTTCACCTGCATTTGTTCGTGTGCATGGGGTAGAAAGGCCAGGTCATCTGCAAAATCCGAATCGTCTAGTTGCATCCAAGTAGTGAACTATATTCCGTACTACTATTCAGAAGTCGAGGTCTTCATAATCCAGCAAATCACCAGAAGAGAAAGGGGAAGGAGGAGTAGTCTGACTCCGGTTCTTACTAGTAAAGCATCTGTCAGCTATCATCCATGTATCAATTTGTACTGCAGTCCGTCGTATGGCTTCTGGATAATGTCGACAATCTTCTCAAGAACTCCATAGTGTCGAAGAAGTTTCCATTATGTTCTACTGTCTACACTGGCAAATTCATCCTATAGTTAATAAAGTTGATGTATAGTGACGAGTTCCACACAACTGATTGTTCCACGATGAACCGCGGTGTCACAATCTGGTCTGTGCACGACCGACCCTTACGGATTCTTGACTGCTAATCTCGAAGTTCATCTTCTCCTCAGTCTTTCATCCTGTGCAGCAACACTTTATTGAAAACTTTTCCGTACACTGACAGTAATGTGATGTCTTTTTAGTTAACACATTTGCTTAGACCCTCTCTTTGTTATCTTGATCAGTTATCTTTCTTTCCAGTTCGTTGGCACTTGTTTTACCTCCCAAATCTTCCTAAATAGAGTGTGAAGGATAATTACAGTTACTTCAATGTCCGACTTTGGCGCTTCAGCTGATATATTGTCAGGTTCCGCTGCTTCCTCACTCTTTATGTGTCTGATAGTCATCTTGATTTCCTTGGTCGTTAGTGGAGTGACAGGTACAGGAAGTTCTGTAGATGCTGCTTCGATGTCTGGTGGGTTCAATGGAGCTGGTCTATTCGGCAGTTTCTCAAAGTATTCTACCCATCTGTTCCTCCGTTACTGGATCTCGGTGATTGGCTTTCCTCCCTTGCCCTTGATTTCTCTCTGGTTTACTACATTTTCCTGCCAGTTCCTTCGATGTGTCAAATGGCTGTCTCATATTTCCCTCCCTTACAGCTTTTTTCACTGTCGTTGCTGACTTTTCTACGCATTTCTGCTTGTCGGCTCTAATGGTCTTCTCTATTTGCTTGTTTGCTTCTGCGTGCCTTGAATTTCTTTGCTCGCGTTCGATTGTTGTTAATAACTGTCTTCTTGTTCTTCCTTTCTCTAATCTTGTCCGGGGTTCCTATACAGATTCATTCCTTATGATGACGCCTTCTGTGACCCAGCGCTTACTGACACGTTGAAATTAATGGATCTTTGATCTCCTCCCATTTGTCCTCCATCGTACTTTCTTGTTCTCTCAGTAGATCCTGTAGAGCTTGGAACCTGTTGTTGAGAGTTATCTCGAATTCGTTGATTTCGTTAGTATCTCGAAGGAAGGCTGCATTGAACCTTTGTATTGCCGTTTGTCCAGTTGCCCAGCGTTTCTTTAGCTTCAGTTTCATCTTCACAACCAGGTTTTCATATGAAGCTATGTCAGCTCCTCTCCTGGTTCCCATACTTCCGTTGTCCTTTGGAATTTTTTGTTGATACAAATATGATCTATCTGGTTCTCTGTAGTGTGGTCCAGCGAGATCCATGTAGCACTGTGTATGTGTTTGTGTGGGAATACTGTTCCGCCTATAACCAATTTGTTGTATGCATATAGATTTGCCAATCTCCCCTCATTTTTATACTCTCTCCCAGTCCAAGTCGTTCCATGATATCTTCATATCAAAACATCAACTTCTTGCATAATCTGCGTGTTATCTGTCTTTAGGTCACTTTTACCTGGTAGTTATCCCAATGTGTATATGACAGTACCGTGAATATCGTTAGAAAACTGATCTTTGAGATTAGTAGATGAGGGTGTAGCTTTGTGATAGGATCTCAGTTCCAGATTGCAACTACCTCATTTTGATAGATGCAAATATTAGTACCAGTCACATATGCATCTAAGTTCAATTATGTTTTCACGAGACGAAGGACCAGTGAGTGTGTACCAGATACTGTCCGGCAGACTTATGACACCACACACTGCTTTAGTCAACATCCAAAGAGGCGTTCCGTGCGAATGACTCACTTACTGAAGTATTTAATAGTCCAAGAGTATTTAAGCCTCTGTGTTATATTCTATTAATATTTAATATTTGTGAATGCTGTTAGCCAACTAAAATCAGAGAAAAATTTATGAACAGGCGCCATAAACTGGATTTCGATTGGAAAAAAAGCGTCAACGTTTCCAAGCTGTAGTGTCTCATCAAGTTATTAAGATATAGACTATATTTGCCAAGGAAAAGCCTCCGTCGTTTACTCCAACGTCTATGTTAGGATATTATGTAAAGGAACTCCATTTTAGATGCTTCAATTTAACTTACGTTGGACATATACCGTTTATGCCTAAGAAATACGTCTGTTTTTGTAGGTTGATTATATGCATACCTGCTTGTTATGATTTGGTTTGTGGTCCTGATTTTAGCTGCCAAATGGTTTGTTTGCTACACTGCATGCATGAACGTTTGTGTATGGTAGTTTAGAAGGTGAATTAAAGTGGGTTTGTATTTTGCTTGTCATTTTACAAAAGGTGGAGTACCGGACTGCAGAACTGTACGTCCTTTATCACATAGTTCCACAGGCTTTGTATGTTCCTTTAGAGAGCAATGTTTAGAGAAACAAGACTAGTATTGGTTTAGTCAGCTACGTGAACCATTTGAAAATGAAATTTTTTAGTAATTCTAGTGCACCTCATTTCAACACTGAACACCATTAAAGAAATCATAGTGCAATATTAAGAAACAGCCAGCGCGAGGGGAACACTGGTTTCTAAAAAGGAGTCAAAATTAACAAGTTATGGCGAAACCATCAGATTCCTAAATTGCCTAAAAAATTACTGCACGTGAGATAATTTAATTCCTCTACTTCATTTTCCATCGGTTCTTCATATTCTACAATATATGTGTTACATTATTATGTTTATTGTGTACAAAAATGAACCAAAAACAAAGATAAGTACATTAAACCAACTGATATTTATCTTTAAAAATTATTTTGTGCGTATGATGGGTTTCTACCACTAAATACTATCTCTGTCATATGCATGTATATACTTATATGTGTTTTCCCACCGTTTTTGACGCTGAAACACTCCTGTCTAATTACCAACGTTTTTGAAATGCACACATTGTCCCTCTTTACTTTTCAGGCTAATAACAAAAAATAGAGAATGGTAGGAAGGAACAGGGGAATTTATTTATTTCTCATTTTTATCTATAATGTATCACATGTCAAAAGCTCAGATGTTCGTAAAGAAACTGACTATTTAGAGAATGTTTATCAACGACCAGCCTTTTTTATTAATACTTCTATTTTGTTAGATGCAAGAATTCTCGCAACCCTTATAGGGATAGGGTTAAGCTGTGTCAATAAATATTTCTATCTAAAATAAATAATTTCTCAGTCATTCTAACATGCTTTGTAAGGTATTTTCATTGACCTGCTGTAGAATGCTTAACATGCCTTAACTATCCAATGTAGAATTACAATATCACACTACCCTGCTTTCAATCAAGTACAAGTTTCTTACCAACCACCATTACCTCCTTCTGGTCACCATTGGTATGCTTGTTTTACAGACTTCTTAAAAGATTGACAACTTTAGCTCCAAGCCGAATATATATCAACCATGCAACCTAGTTTTTTATATAATTTTGATTCAACATCTCCTTTATATGTTAACGAAATTCAGTCGTTATTATTTTTCAGCCTTTAACAATTTGCATATTCGTAGAGTTGGGTAATGACTTGCAGTGGAATCCAGGACTAGTGCTTTGTCCTACTTAGGACTCATTTGGTGAAAGTAACTGAATTCCAGTTTTCATCTACACAACTGGACAGGAACCAAGTATATTTTGTTTCTAATATCAGACGCACAATCTAAACCCAGAGGCTCAATGAATAATGGTTTGTAAATTTGGAATAAAATACCATAATTTCAAGGCACAGTGTGAAAATCAACACTTGAATTCGGTTCCATCCAGCTGACGAGTCCAAAATAGGAAGAAAATCGCATTTCAGACTCTACTTCTAACCACTGCCCAACCTATTTAAAAATTGTGACTGTATGATAATATCTAAGCAGCTCTCTCAGGATGTAAATATGCCAATGGGACAGATTAGTTCTTAGTATGGATAATGTAAACATCCAAAACCCTATAAATAGAATTCTGCTCACTAATTAAGAAAGCCCATATGATAAAAAACAATTACATATATGCATAAAACATTACGATTCCTACATTCGGATCAACTGTTCACATTACTGACACTTATCACATAAATCACAAGGAAAACTTGCTACTCACTAAAACCTACATTTGAAGTTTCGTTATTGTAATATGTTAATACTATACAATAATGTGTAGAAGATAATTGAGAAGAACGACTATAAACATACTTTCGAAAAAAAGAAATTACTAGTTATTGATAAGGCAAAGCTAATCACTTAAAAAGGAATCACTGGGTTTCAAACTCAGAAATAAATAAATTTTAAAAAAAACAAATGACCAAGTGTATTATCGACAGTGACAAATTTGAAAAAACCGAAGAAAAGAAAACAAACTCACAGAAGACATAAAGTATGGAAAGAAATCAATGAATTATTTCTAAACATCTAGGCTATTAGATAGGTTGGTAACCAGTTTTCCTAGTTTATATATATATATGCATAAATGTTCTATCTTTTACTGCAATTAAATGTATCTAAGTACATTCATGGAATACAACGGATTAAAATAAATCTAACCGATGATTTTTGTACAACTTTCTAATGAATAGATAGACAATTTACTAGTTTAATAACAAATGAAAAATAAAATAAAAACAGATGAAGATATAAGAATTTCTAATAAACATTTTATTATCATACTCTGTCTACTTAAATCAGTAGTCTAAAAAAATTGAACCAATTATGATCCATTCTATAATCAAAGTTACATTGAATTCAAATATTTCATCTAATGGTAATAAGTTTGCATTGTAAACAGAAATGTTATAATCAGAAACAAAAAAAAACAATCACAAGATGTTTTACAGTAATTCGAAACAGAAACAAGTAGTTCGTGACATATATACATATACAATGATGAGAATAAAATACAATTACATCGGGTTAAATTTTTTTTTCACTCATGATTATTTCATACATGTTAAATAAGTAAAACTTCAAATATATCAGAAGGAGGAATGATACATTGTACTATCTTTCTTTTTCTAAAGAGCTGTAATGTTAATATGTTCATTATCTATTGTAGGTGTGCATGTAACACCTAATTGGACCCCCCCTCCTAGTCCAGTTAATAAAGAATTATTCGGCAGGTCATTTGAATCATTCTGATGTGAATGTTTACTTCGTTGTGTATGCTTTATAATACGACGTTGTACTAGTAAATCTAACCGTTTTTCTGAACGACTAATAAGATTTACTACTTCACTACATGTTAAACTATCTACTGGTGTATCATTGACCTGAAATAGATAAAACAAATAAAATAATATGGAATTATTTAAAAAGTAAACATTCAAACAAATGAATAATAAAAGAAATATACAGGCATTTTGCTCTAATTAAAATCTTAATGTCCTGGGTTCGATTCTGAACGAGGTAGTGGTTGTGTTCTATATTAGAACCCCAAACAAGGATGAAATAGATTTCCAGTACTCCGTGATTTTCATTGGTTGTTCCGAGGATATCATTTGCTGAAGAAAACCTCATTTAAATTGATGACATTTTCACATACTAGCTAATTAAGTGAGAATAGTTATAGATATGTTTTCTGAAGGATCGAAATTCAATATTGTTTAGTAGTTATTACACCTCCGAATCAAATAGTAAATAGAATCTATTAATTATCTGTATTATCTTTATTCCTAAACCAAGTTGTAGTTACATACATAGTACTTATTAACGTTTATACAAGTGGGTAAAAATATAGATGAAGGAAAGTAATTCAGAAAATTTGTCTATAATCATAGTTATAAATAGTTTAAATCGTAGGTTTTAATGGTCTAAAAAGCACCTTAGTAAATCATATTTTTTAAAGATTATGCAACCAGTCATGAAGTTCAAAGCACTTATACTTCATATTCTCGAAGATATTAATTTAAATAATTTAATTTGAAAGTATTTTATATTTCATTGGCAGATAAATTTGGATTATTAGATCTCAACTCAATAGTCTGAAAGTTATAAATTCCAGGGTTAGATCTTCTCTAGGGTAAAGGGTGTACACTGCTGAAGATTCCTAAGGTGAGACAACTACTCATCGTTCTTGGATCCTAATAGTTGTTATCAAACCGTTATGAAAAGCATGTTTCAAATGAACCAATCTTAAGAAAACCTACATCAAATTAAACGGAGTACATTATAGATCAGTCAAAAGAATTACTGCTCACAACATTTCCCAGTAATTTAATATAAAAATATTTAATTTCTACATTGATTTCAACTAACTTAAGACTATAAGGTACATGAAAGAATCTAGTTAATAGGCAATCGGTACATTATAAATGCAAAATGGAAACCTTAAAAAATACATTGAAGTAGACATTTTTACTTGAGCATACTGTCAACAACAACAACTGATCATTTTGTATGAACTGAAAATTTTAATCAGTTTAAGTTAGGTTACTGCTTTTACAAAATACACCAATATTTTAAAGAAAATTGTTGTTTTGTTAATAAAACGGACCAATAAATCTCGCGAACCAGATCATGGACGCGCAATTCTGAAGAATCCTACAATAGAACGAAACGGCTTTCCAGTGCTTCCAGGTTTTCAATGGTGGTCTAGCATCAATCAGTTCATGATCTCAATCAAAAAAGTTAATAATCTTCACAACTCAATACTGATAACTACTGTAGTAATGTGATGTCAATAATGTGATGTCTCAATAATAATAATATTAATAAATTGAACTTATAATTCAAGTTTATTGTTAATGTTGCCTTCAGTTTTTTTCCGTTTAAATTCAATTTAACTTACCATTAAAATACGATCGTATAGATAAAGTTTACCAGATAAATCAGCTGGTGAATTAGGACGAATTGCACTAACAAATATACCCATAGTAGATAAACCTTCAGATACACCTATTCCATAGGAATCTGTATTTGATATCTTTTTTAAACGAATCCATGTACACCATGTATTGAATTCAGTAAATTGTTGTTCAGATTTAATAGGTTTAGTTGTTGATAATTTTTTAGATCTAACTTTTTTAATATGTGATCTATGAATATTATCATATAAATGTGAATTGATTGTTTTAATATTCATAGGTGATCCTAAAGTGTTTGATTTAATTCGTGATATAGTTTTATGTTCAATTGGATTTCTACAACAAAAAAGACAAACATATTCATATCAAGTTGCACATGATAGTGAACCGTAAAAATTGTAGGAGTTTGTTTAATATACACATAATCAATAGAGATTATCAGAAGAGGATTTCGTGGAGATTTTAGTAATCATGAATCAATTGAAACTAGACCACCATGGAAAACCTGGAAGCACTGAACGGCCGTTTCGTCCCATTGTAGGACTCCTCAGCAGGGTGCATCCACGATCTCGCTTCACGAGATTCAAACCCAGGACCTATCAGTCTCACTCGCGAGTGCTTAACCACTAGAACACTGAGCCAGTTGGCATCCAACGGTGTTAATGTCTAACTTCAACCAATCCACGAAATTGAGCCACCGTCCACCATTGTCTTCAGGGAGTTGATATCTCACAACAGATCTGGTTGAACTCCACTAGTCACTGTTTCTCACTAGAACCTCAGGAGGAGGAGTCCCACAATAGGATGAAACAGACGTCCAGTGCTTCCAGGTTTTCCATGGTGGTCTATTTTCAATTGACTTATGATTTCAACTATACAATAGAAATTGATCATTAACACTTCTTAAAAACAAATAACTGAAAAATTTAAAGATATTAACAATAACCAATTCGAATCGTAATGATCCTAATGTAAAATTGATATATTCGTATTAATGGATCACATAAATATAGTTATGTATTGCATTTCAGTGAAAAAAGAAAATCTTTTGTAAATGACTATATGGTAATAGTTCTTGACAAATTGTTTTATTCAGTACTTTAGTATGTCTAAAAATATATACAATATAAATGTTACCATTGAAGGAAAAATCAGTTCGGGCTATTGACATCTGCTGTTTATAAATGGATAATAGAAATGAAGTAAAGAATATTACATTCATGGTCTTTTTCAAGATTTGTCAGAGAATAATATAATATCATAAAAAATCCATTACATTGTAGTATGTTTTGTACTGTCCATCTGTCAAGATGGACAAAGTTTAAGAGAAATACTCATTTCAAATGTATTTCATTAACTCATAAAGTAACTATTACGGTGTATGTAAATCAAGTTAAAATACATTTTCATAGTTGGAAGCATGAGTCAATTGAAGGTAGACCACCATGGAAAACCTGGGAGCACTGGACGATCATCCACGATCTCGCCTCGCGAGATTCGAACCCAGGACTTAACAGTCTCACGCCAAAGGACTTAACCGACAGACCACTGACCCGGCATCCGATGGTATTAATGTCTAACTCCAACCAATCAATGAAGTTGAGCAACCATTCATCAATTGTCTTCAGTGGGTTCCTATTTCACATCAGACCTGGTTTAACTCCACTGGTCATTGCTTCTCACTCGAACTCCAGGAAGTACTTCTTGAGGTCTGGTAGGTCCTGGGTTCGAATCTTTAATCATTATCAAGTTCACAACACAAGCGTTTGGTATAACATCAGTTTTTGGTTTTTGGTTATCTCATTCATATATACTTACATATTCAAATCAATAAGATAAATAATAAATAGATCACTTACATATTAGATGATTGATAATTGTAAGTTTTCTGTGGTTTATACATTTGAGATGATTCCATTGATTTGACTATAGGTTCAGTTACACTTAACCTATTCCTTTTATCAACATCAGAACTATCATCACTTAAATCAATAGATCGTATTAAATCTAAACGACTATCTGATTTTGAATGATGATCAGTAAGTAAATGTGATGTAGTGGTTTTATTATTATTCATTTGTAGATTTTCTTTTATGTATCTTGAATTTTCTTGTTGATCATAATGAGAAGTAGATGGTTCATCTTTACTTAAATACCAAATTGGTCGCTTTTTATCATCTGATAATAAAGTTTGTTGATATTGTCGATGTAGTTGTATGCCGTCGAATTCTGGTTCCAAATAATTTGATGCAAGAAATGCTTCAGAAGTAGATCTTGTTGCACTATAAAATTTTGAATGAAGAACATAAATAAGAGAACTAAGTCTATCTTAGTATAACAACTAAGTTTAAATTATTCCTAATACTCATTTCTAGCGTTAAACTATCACGATAAGATACAATGAAAAACTTTTATGACAGAAATTGAAACAAATAATTATCACTATAATTATGTTATTGTTCAAGTCATATCAATGTAAGGACAAGATCAAAAGAAAGAATATGTTTGAATCCTTTGTGGTATTTATTCAGTATAACTCAGTTTTAGGTTAGTTTAGTGTGATATTCAATCAGCATTCATTTTTATATTATTTCACTGAATAAGCCATAGATTTATCCCTATTATCTCAGTTCTGTTTGGTATATGCTGAATAAGCATTAAATACCAGTAAAACTTGTAGGTAATTGAGTGTATCTAGTCCATATGTTATCGTGTTTTATCATAGAAGCAGGATAAAATCTTTCTTTCATCGTCTAGACCTCAATTTCCCACACCCATTTGTTTCAAGTCCAGTTTCAGCATTTCTAACTTGAGACAAATTCTGTTCAGATGATATTGACACTAACTTATTGCTGTCATATATTACCACTTAATATAAATCTATTAAATATAGTAAAGCCAACAAGGGAATTCTATTTTCTTTACTAAGAGAATATCAACAGCTAAACATAATTGGTTATGTCATTTTTATTTAACTTAACTTGAAGTTGACAGTAAGATCTTTTACGAAAACACAAATGATTGAATTAATGTTTTATAGATTGAGCAAACTATTTTGGGTTAATAATCTGACAGTAAAGTTTCTTTACAAGGTATTTTCATATTTATTTTTCTTATCACAATGTTGATTTCAAAAACGAAACTGTTCATATCATTCAAGATCATTATTATTTGTTAAAGTCAAATAATTCGATCATCCGAATTTTATACCAAAACAGGTTTATCCAGCTGATGAGTCTCAAGTAGGACGAAACGCATGTCCTGCATTTCACTGCTAGCCATTATCCATGTTTGCTTATAAAGTTTGTGAATCAAGGTTATATAGAGTCAATGCACACAGGATGCATATATGCCAATAAGAGACTGATCAATTACAGTCCTAAATAACAATGGGAAGATACATGTAAATAATACCAAGTGAATTTAAAAAAAGCATTTATGTATATGTGAAAACTATTAATGTTACACATTATGGACGCTATAAACAGTATAATCAACATGTATGATCAACATGCTTATCATAACAAGCAACACATATATTTAATGATTGTCCATAATATAAAGAATGATTGGAATGTAGCATTCTCAGCTAATTTGTACATTATTTTGTGAATGTAAAAGTTTTCTAATACTGAATAATTTCATTTATAATAGGTAGATATTCAAATAGGCAGACTTTATAGACTAGAGTGTTGGATGTTGTAGGTTATTATTTTCTACATTTAACTATAGTTGGTAAAATCTGCCGCTTAAGTTAACTGATTTTAGTGACAATTTTGTATAATTCACTTATGTTCGTTGTTCCTTTCTTAGCCACCATTCATCTATCTCTGCTTACGATTTTGTATACACTTTTATCAAAATAGGTTTCCAGCTAGATAATAATTGAAAGTATGTAAACATCGAAGGCTTGTTACACTGAAGTCTACGATTCAACAGTATCAAGCTCTATCCATTCTTCACGATCTCAAACCTAGAACCACTTAGTCTTACTATGAGCAGAGCAGCTACAGATCAACTTATATCAAACTGTAATAGAAGGTTATTTTCATCCACCATTATCGTTGAATTACTGTAGTAATCACTACTTAATTTACCGTATGATTCTCGAATCCCCTAAAACTTTAGTAAATCTATTCCAGAACTACTCATTGGTAGATGTCAGTGAGTACTGAACCATTGTTTTGTAGTTTTACGTAACGCTCTCTCAGAAATGAAAATATTTTAGCGGACGCTACTCACAAGATTGTCTGTAAATAGTGTATAGCGGAACGTGACGTTGAAGTTGAGTCAAATGTCAAACGGAGTGAAGATTCTCAGTACATTGGATGCACAATGATGACATAACACTTGGAGGCGGCACAAGAAGACAGTTCAGACTGAAGAACACACAGAAAGCTACAAATGAAAGGTTGAAGTCTACGTATTCTTTAAATACTTAGTAACTTCTTACAACAAGTAGACATTCTTCATGATGTCATGTTTTACAATATTACATCTATAAATATTTATTTTTCGAAGTATTTTTTACTAACCCCTTTAGAGTGTAAAATATGGCGAATACTTGATTTTGATATACAGTTTAATTTGATCCTCTTGCCCCCAGTTAGTTTCCTTCTCTTCCATAAAATCACGACAGCAAAGACTTCAAATAAAGTTGCCTTCAGGATGATTCTATCACAGATGACGGAGTAGTCCTACTTACATTAGACTAAATATGATTATAACACATTCATTTATTTGTATGCATGTTTAATAAACTAAATTTGCAGGAGAGAGGTAGGTTAAAACTCATGAATAAAATATGAATATAGATAATCATATCAACTAGGTTTCAGACTGAAAGTGAAGGATATAATTAAATAATGAATAAATAATGTATAATCTGTTCAAAGTAGATAAACGAAGGTTACTGGGAGAAAAAAGAAACATGCATTCACTTTTAAAAAAAGGAATTAAATTGAAGAAACCTAACACTCTAAATGAGTTATTAAAAACTCTCTTGAAATGTTCAACAAAATGTATTCCATAAATCTCGAAGCTTTTAAAAGACATCAAATTAGTTAAGCTATATTTATTCTTCTTATCATATAGAAATATTCAAGGTGATATGGTTACAATCTTTAAATTATTGGCCAATCATTTAGTATCTCATTTGTCTTCATTTCACTTATTTTTTGGAATGAAGATTTCACAACATTGGTATCAGCTACATGTTAGCTGGTTAACTACTAATCAAATCGTCAACGAGTAAAGATACTTCGTGTTAACCTATGGTAATATCGTTTTCGAAAAGTATATTCCAAAGAAAGTTTAGTAAATTAAGAAACACTTGCCTTATCTCCAGGATCAATATAGATGTTCTAGACGTACAGTTTTACTGAAGAGATTTTAAACAACAGCTATTTTATTTATTCATTTATAAACAAATAATCTGTAATATTTTTTTAAGGAAGAATACTAATAATAACACTTCTTCATATGACTAGACATGGGAGAATATTTTAAAGAACTTCATGTTAATTCTTCACCGATCTTCAGAGGTATAAGAGTCAGTTAGAAAAAGAGCAACATTTCTTGAATTGAATTGACTGGTGAACAAATGGTGTATCATATGATCAAATGATGCAATTACTAATTTAATATTAAAAACAAACTAGAAAAAAAGTTGACAATTGAACTGATAACAATAAAAGTACCTATGCAAATAATTTGATAATGTACTTTACAGTCTGAGCTTAGTTAAGTGACCACTGAAAACCATGAAGCACTGGATATCCGTTTTGTCTTAGCATAAGACTCTCATCTATGATCTTACCCAACACACATTCAGATCCCATACTGTGCTATTAACTTTTCGACTAGTAAGTTGACATCTATTAATTTACACTTCTCCAAACGGTGTATCAGTTAGTAATGTAAATTACTGTTAACCTGTAAATAATTTAAATAAAATAAACCTTTTGATTGAGTCATTAAAGATACAACCTTAGCAATAAAACATCCTTTTTCCTATCAGTTAGCTTCTTATCATAGTTATATAGTTTTATATTTGTTGCTGTATGAATGCTGTATGTCAGTAATTCAATCGTTGTTATCGATTATCACTTGACCACTATGCATCATTGCACATCACTTATTTTATCAAACCTAAACTGTGTATCTACATAGAGCGCTTCAAAACACCAACTCCTCATGACAAGTTCTCAAATCAAAAGTAGTGAATAAACGTTTTGAAACAAATGAGTAGAAGAAATGACTTTTACAACTAAATCACTTATGGTTCAATGATCTATGAAACAGAATTGTTACATTTATATTTAATACATAGTTCATAAAAACAAGATCAAAATTAATTTTAAGGAAGATATTCATCATATTTTGTAGTTCTAACACTGTATAATTATACATATTCTTCATTAGGAGATACTCTCCGCTAAGGTGAAAGAATAATTTTATACAGAAACTAACGAGCTTAACATGTTTTATGGTTATATTATCTTATTCTTCACTACATATGTCGTGACCTACTTTTATGACGAGAACGCGATTCGTTTAATAGAAATAATTATTATCATAGCCAATCGTACCAGTGATTGTTTTGCTGTACTTGTTTGTCTAACTGTACCACAGACACATTTTCCTTCCGTTGGCCTTGCACGAACTCGCTTACGCTCGGCATCTCCGCTTGTAAACTTTAGCACGTCTCGGTATTCTTTCGATACCACGAGATCGCCAACAAATATACGTTATTTCAACCGTTAACAGCCTTCTGGTTTTTGGCCTACCCAGGGATCCAAGTCGATACCTGACACGTAATTATCCTGAAGTGGTGATTATAGTCAATCGCGACATGACGCCATCTACACATATCTAATTTTATTTCTGTAATGATAGAGATATTAACTAACGTAATAATTTTACTATCCCTTTATATAAATAATTTATTCAAATTTACTAGTGGAGATACTCAGTTTGTCAGAATTTGACATCAATGACAGAAAGCTCATCAGACAATCCATCCAATAGGTCGCTGATGAAGACAAAAATAATTTTAGTTTAAAAGATTAATGTTCTAACCGCACAAAACTGTTTTAATTGTGTTCATGATTACACATTCAAATTAATATGACCCACTGTAAGAAGACAGAAAAAACTCTAATGACAGATAATAAAAAACAGTCAATTGTCGTCGGTAATAGATATTCAAAATATGTCTCAATAAAGTACTTTATTTACAGTAACCATTAGTTGGATTGTTGCATAAATTCAAGTGAGTAGG